AGACTGAATCTGAAAGACAAGGAGAAATCATTATGAGGGATATCTGATTGTTTTAAAACATGCCACAAGATGTAATTGATTACAGGATCTTACTGGTTGATAGGTCTCAGCACCACACTGGTCACATGTGTAAGTAGCCACAGCCATCATTGGTTTAACTTCAGTGGCACGGGTCACTATGCCTCGAACTGTCACCAGGTGCCCGATGCTATCAGCTCGTACATCACGCACCACTTTAGGTTTAGTAGTGGTGGGAGACTTAAAGTAAAGCTCACTGTGGATGGAAGATAAAGTTCATGAGAAAGGTATTCATACGCATAGAGAAAGATTTACTGTTTTTTTGACAGACTGAAAACAAATCAGGTACTCCAACTAGCATTAGTGAATAACCAAAAATTGTTATAAATCAAAATTCCATCCTCAATGATTCAACTTACAATCTCCTCATGAGTTCAGGCGGGTATTGGTTACGCGAGTCTCGAGTGTCTGCAGGGTCACGACCCCTCTGTTCCATCATCAGCCTGTGCTCAATGTACACGTCCAGGGAATCTTTGGCCACAATCTGGATACAAAAGCGTGTATGCATTTCAGTTTTAATGAGCAGGGATGTAATGGGTGCATCAATAGTTGGAACTCTGAAGATTAGTCTGTTTTAGGTCACTCACATTACATATTATTGGAAACCCAAAAAACACTTTGATTTTGTTTAAATCCTGTACAGGATCAATTATGCAAATCTACGTACATCTCTTTCTTTGTACTCTGGCAACAGCTCATGGATGGCATCAGCGAACAGGCCTGTGTAGCGTTTGGCATTCTCACAAATGCTCTCAACCAGCTCGGGGTCTTCCTCAGCCACATCATCCAGTTCCACAAAGACAGACACCTGCTCCCTGTGGGCCAGTGCCACCTGTATACACAGACACGTAATTAGATGAGCCACTTAATTACATGACCTTGTCTGCAGATACAGATAGTGGTCAATAACAACAATGGACACCTCTACACTTTCACAAATTGGGCAGGCTGTGATATTGCATCCAGATACAACTTCATAGTCTAGCCTGATTACGATGGCCTGCACATTTTGCAAATACATTTAGGCATTTTATGCGCCGATGTATTTACATCATGTGTGTGTGTATACCTTTCAGTTGCACCACTCAAACCCAGATGTCACATACCTTTTGTGTGAACGCCCAATTGAAAAGCTGATACATTTTGTATCAAAAATGTATATGATTAAAAGAAGTGCTTCAACCTCTAGATTTGAAGGCATTTGGTAGTTTAGCAAAAACTGATAAATTACTGTTCAGGACCGATACAAATTATGCCTAAGAAGACAAAGAGTAGCCAAAAAATTTATTCAAAAAGGACAAAAGAAAACTCACACTTTACCTAATACATCAGTACTTTTCCCTACCAAATGTATTCAGTTTGGTGTGATAATTTGAACCTTCCTAGTGAGGCCCAAAACAGTCAACTCTGAAAGCTACGCCCATTTTTACTATTTGTTTACTATACTTACAAGCTGAGCTCCATATTTGAAGACCTTCTTCCCATTGTCATCCTCTGTGTAAAACTCCTGCAGGAACCTTTTGCATTTGTCTGCAAAACAAACAAAAACACCTTTAGCTTTATTTTATGTCACAGCAGGGAAAAGGAGAAAAAAAAAAAAAAAAAAAAAACAGGCCACATCCAGCAGACACTAGGTGGAGATTGTTTGTTAGCTATATGTGCACACAAAGAAATCATTGTTTACTGATGTTATCTTCTCATTTGTTTAAACATTAAAAACAGCTTTCTGAGTTTAAAGGCTGTTGAAAATGTTCATCAACACCACTACCACCAGTGGGCCTACAAACTGGGAGCTAATTTGTTGTCCTGCGACGACCCCCTTTGTTGAGTAACATGGCATCCTGTAATCTCGATGAGTCACTATTGCCTACAGTAAAGCACAAACTGCCACTGATGTACTGCGTGAGCCAAATTCCCCTTCAGTGTACCTACTATCATAGTTTTGGGGTGAAAGGGGTGACGTTACGCGGCAGATCGCTTCAGGGTAAGAATGTAAATACAACAACAGGCGCGCTCAGTTCAGTGTCCATTTTTAGGGAAAATATCCCTCACTTCTCGAAAGAACCACAACTACTAACAATATTTAATTCTACGTTGCAAGAAACGAAACTAATAATACCACGGCGATTAAAACGGCCCACTTACTTTGACGCTGTAGCAAAAAATCAGCAGCGCTGGTTTATTATTTCTCTGTTCGAGGATGTTATTGTAAACAAAGCAGCACATGGCTTTTGTGCCTCGTCACTCAGATATCCCTCCGCGATCCCTCCGCTCTTAAAAATAATCCCGGCTGTTGTTTTCAACCCGTGGCCAGCCATCTTCTAACGTTAGCTTAGGTTAGCTCAGTTGCGTCGAGTACGGACAGTTCCTTCGATATTAGCCATTGTTCTTGACATAAATCACTAAGCGGTACGAGGTTGCCGATTTAACGTTTAATGCTTGTGGTTTCTGTCGGATAATTCAGTCAAAGTAGAACTTCTGAGCAGGTAGTTTGATGGAGCTATTGAATTCACAGATTGAGCGATGACTCAAGTCAATGTAAAGTTTCGGTTTTAAAAACGAGGCAAAATAAATCCAAATAAATTGTTGCAGGCATACTGAGTAACTGGAATTTGAAAGCCAAATCATCTTTACACTTGATTACAAATCTTCATTCCTAACGTACCTTTTGAAATAAACCTAATAGTTTGAATATTAGCAACATATATTGGGCTGCCTAAAACGTTACCGTAAACATTACGTTATTTGCGTTCAGTTCATTAGCGTTAAGTTCGTGTTTAAACCACTGTGTACCCGAACTTCACATAAACCAACATTTCGAAGTGTCTTTAAACTAGGCACCGGGACGACTCACCAGCTGGTATTTTATCAAAGCAGTCAGTACATCTAAATGCAAAATGGCACTTTAACTTGTGTAACTGACAGCCAGTTGGATAAGAGGGGTAGCTAACTTGCTAGCATGCTACGGTAGCTTTAACGTAGTATGGAGCAGCTAACTTGGTGGATGTTTAGTGGAGCAATATGTTGGATTGGGGACGCTTTGAACGCCGGAAACAAGTGCATGGAATGGACATTGTAGGTAGTGATAGGTTAAAATAAAGTGCTAAATAACACTGGGTAACATATTGATGTTAACCGTTTGGAAACATTTACGTTAATATTGCACTGTAACATCAGGTAACAAGCTTAAGTCTTTAAACTTGGGGTAACAAAACGCCGTTATATTTAAACAATTGATACGTTTAATCTATCAAATCAGCCTGAAATGTGGTAAATTAGTCTTTGGTAACTTCAAAACGTGCATTGAACATGCCCAATGATGTCTTAGGTTACAAATAACTGCCTACTTGTCTACAGCTGCTTTATCATAAGGTATGGTTTCATGAAATGAACAAAACGAGCATGTGATATCAACTTTCTAACGTTATTATCTCGTTACCAAGATATCTCTCTCCGCCCTCATTAACTTACTAGCTTAAGTGCAAGTTATTGTTGGACATGTGCTTGCACACTGGCGCCTGCTCCTTTGTTTAAGCGGATCCATCCGGGTCACTGTGTATTCAACAGGCTCACAGAAAATGCTTAACTAGTTCCTACCAAGTTATCTAGCGATCAAAAAACTTTGTGCAACTTCAAGGCTAACAACATTCACCCACATCACGGATTTAGTGAACAAATTCGCAGGCAGACTAAGATGCACAACTTTCAAGGTTGTGGTCTAAGCATAGTAAGTTAGTGCAGAGGGGAAAACAAGGAGGTAATATAGTAGTGTCTGAATAATACAATTTTGACTGAACAAACACAAAAAATGATTTTATAACGAATACACATCACGGTTAACTATCGCTGCGTTTTCGAAGAGCATTTTACGTTAAGTTAAAGGTTCGGTCATTTAGGCCAGCCTGTTGCTGCCATGCCGTTATTGAGAAAGTTCACCCATTACCTTTCTCTGCCGCATAATCCTTACGAGCCATGGCTGCAAACGTTGACCCTCAGGTGAGATAACGTGATTCCAAAACCGTGAAGGTACCAATGAACAAAAATTATGTTTAAATTCGCGGTTTCGTTCCTTCACTATCACGGGAGACCTGTATTCATTCACTCGCAGCTCGAGTTTCTCCCCGGTCGCGGTGCAAGAACTGGCGCGAGTCTGACGTATCCAGCAGCCAATCATGTCGCTTCTTTCCGCAGGGAGAGGCGGGATTTTGTGATGGCGCGAAAGTTGCGGGCAATTACGCGTCACGTGCTTCTAGAAACTTCCGCCCTGTTTGTCAGGAATGGCGCGAAAGGCGATGATTGGATTTCATTACAACTGAGTGACCCGGGGGTGAACCTGAACTCTGACGCTAGGGGCCCATGAGCCAAATCTGACCCTCAAGCGATAATATTCGGCCCCTAAATGAAAGCTGAATATTAAAGTTTAATAGTAATCATACCTTTTACATAATCTGTCATGAACCTACAGCAGATATCAACATAAATACAAGGCTCATGTAAGTCCTAATGAATAGGACCTTGTTACAAACTGCTTACAGGTAACAGTTTGCAAATTACATATTTTGTTGATTTGTGATGTGAAAATTTGTATAATACAACCTCTAACAAAAACACATTGAATATTAGCCTTTCTTCAAATGTTAATGCACTGTTTATTTTTGTTGCATGAACTTAGAAAAAAATGACAAAAAAACAGTAATTTTGACATCCGCTAAAGTTTAGGCACCCTATTAACTCAGTACAAACTAACCCCCAATTTAGGCAGGTATCACAGTTTGTAAATGCTGTTTGTAGCTAGTTATTAGTTTATGCCTATTTCTTCTGTACTGTGCCATTTACTCACTCTTGGCATTTTGTTCTCATTTTGTAATGTAGTACTTCATACCATCCCCAAAACATGACTGAAAAACAAACAAAACAGCATGCTCAATTAAGCAAATTTTAATAAACATTAAATTAACAAGATTCAAAAACAAAAAAAAAGTGCTATCAACAGCCATACAAGGTATAAAGCGGAATTCAAAATGTGCAGCAAGGTGAGGCTTTCAGCTTGTTGCAAGCAAACAGGGATCTAACCTCAACATAACATTTCTTTTTAACAATTTGAAATATTTCTGAAACTTAAATATCAGAACTGTTTCTCTGTGTATTCAAAACACAAACACCAAACAATTAACTATTTTAGCTTTTATCTCCAGACTTCATAATCATTATTTAGCCTCTATTTCCCTCCAACAAAATGAATGACCTAAAGTTGATCTGATAACTGAGCTCAGAATGGGGTCATGCAGAAGAACAGATGGCCCTAATATCCTGTACACTCAAATGTACTGAAACTACTGAAAACACAGTAGTGTTGAAGAGATGTATTAATCAAAAAGAACTGTTGTTCCCAGGATAATCCAGGTCTTTGTGCCCTCAGTCAAAGAGCTCATCAAGGACGCTGGCTGAGGTGTGACGTGTGGAGGGCTGCAGAGCAAAAGCAGTATGAAAGTTTCAGTATGCCAGGAATGTAGTCCTTAATCTTGATATAAAAAATATTTGCCAAGCAAAGAAAACCCACACAAACTGCATAAATAAACCACTAGAGGCACTGTCCCAACTTCACATCTATACTTCATGCCTCTCTTGCATCAGAAATAGATGCAGCCTAAACAAATTCTGAATTTATTTATGCTTTATTCATTATACGCTGGCCGTACAAGAACTGCTGCTATAATGTGCCATTAATGAGTCCATAGTCAGCTCCACAAATCACAAGCAAAATGTATTTTCATAGGCACTGATTCAACTGTAGCTCAGCTGACCTGCTCTAATACAGGGGCACAGGGTATTACACGTTTCTAAGTTTCAACATAAACTGCTAAACAGATTTTAGAGAAGGCAAAAAATACATATTTTTTTCTAAAAGTCACACATATACATATATAAAAACGGTATATATATATATATATTTTTTTTTACCAATGTATATGGAGATTCATTGTCAGAGTCACTTTCATAATCCTCAATCTCAGCTTCCTCTCTTTCTGCATCGTCATCCTCAATCAGAGACAACCTGTGGGTCACACACACAGATCAGTTTTGCAGGTAGCTATCATATTCACATTTCCTAAATACTAAAAGAAGATTCTGGGATGACACCATTTGTATCCTCCCTTTGTTAGATCAGTCTTACAAGGTGAGGTGGGAGTTCAGGTCTTGCTGATCCACACTGGGGCCACTCTGGTTGGGGGGCAGCTGGCGTCGTTTGATGGGCTTCACCTTTCGCAACTGGGGCCTGAAGAACAGCAGCGGGTAAATTTTGGTAGCCATGAAGTCTTTCTCATGCTAGAACAAATGCTAGCTGGCTGGTAAAATGTTTGAAGCACATGTTAAGCTCTCTTTTCTTCCCTCTCCTATCTCTCCATCTACGTAATGTTTCTATCTACCTACCATGTCTGCAATAATTTGAGCATGTGTTAACAGTTGAGGAAAATTAACCGTATATGACTTTATTTCAACAGACAAAAAAGATTGTCAATAGGACCTTATCTAGTCACAAATGTTTCTGCAGTTGCAACATGTGCCCAGAGGGATTAGCTTTTTCCTCTAGTGGCCAAAGTGACGGGTTTTGCCTGGTAACACTGCACAAGTTGTTCATTTAGGACAGAACAGAGAGTGGCTGGCTCTTGGCTGATAAGACTGACAGAAGGTAATTGACCCTTGGCAATTTCCACCATTTGGCAGGTGCCTGGCTGTAATTTCCATCCTCTGAAATAGAGATGGTAGATACTGCAGACGTGTTGATGATAAAACTCAATTTACCCTGAGGAGAACTCATCCTCGGACTCCAGCTCAGTTAAGCCGCTGCCAATGTCAGACCCTGTTGCTGTGGGTTTCCTGGAGGCCATCTGCTTGGCTGGCTGTCTCTGGACAGTGGAGGTATAGGCCGGGGTGTGAAGGCTGCTGTGGATACTGCTGCTGTCCAACCAGGATCCTCTGGCAGTGCTGGATACTGAACCTAGATGAGACAGCAGTCACCCCAGAACGTTACTAACTATGACATTTTGTTCATTGTATGGATTTTACAATCTCAACTCAAAACATAGATCAGATACAGTCCAATGGATTCACAAACACATTAGCACCGACACGGCGAGAGGTTCATTTCCCAGGCAAAAGAAAAAGCTTGGTGAGAATTCCTCTGAAAATTAAACACCTTTGAATTTAGATTGTTGGTTAGATATAAAAGGGAATTTGAAGATGTTACCTTGGGTTTGGGAGAACTTCTGATTGGCATTTTTATTTACTATTTTCTTCTACAATTGAACAAAAAATGATGGAAAGATTAATCAATAATGAAAACTGTCATGTGTTGAGGTTTAGAGAAACCCTTTTCTCACCAAATTACTAATAACTCCAACACCCAACTTTAAGAAGGGAATTAGACATAGTTCCCAAATCATTCACGTTGCATCTTTTTAAAAATATTAGTGGTAATGCATACTGTGTATCCATGGACACAGGGCTTTTGTGTAGCATGTGTGTCCATCTCACCGAGAGCGGTGGTCTTCTTGCGTTTAGCCACAGGAGTATCACTTCCCTGCTCCCGCTCTCTGGGTCTGGAGGAGGAGCGAGCCTCCAGAGAGCGCTGATACATTCTGACTGACGGCCTGGAGAGGGCAGCACTGGGACACTCTGATTTCAGCAGTGCAGCCCTGGGAGGGGACGTCACAGTGACAGAGGGATGAGGACAAAGACCAAGGAAACCTTTGTTCATGTTTAGTGGTTCAGTTTCTTCAGGCTTCTGTATTGATCCAGTTAAACCATTAACACACAAACTATGATGGCATTTCAAGAATTAATATGTTAGGATAAACACTACTTTCTGTTCGAATTATTTTTTAATGAAAAACTAATTTTAATACAAAAAAAGCTTGATTTAGCAGCTTTAGCCCAGAGTTTAAAAAATGACAGCTTTAATCCCTCTTTTGCACCACTGACAGTAAGTTCCAGTATCACATGCATTTCTTTTCCTGTGTATGTGTATATACTTGCTTCTTACTTTTACACAATAAAGACTGAAAAAGTAAAGTTTCCTAAATCATGTTGTCATAAAGGAAGAAAAGCACTTTTCTTTGCTGTGATTCTAAAATAACTTACATACCTCTACTGAATAATAACATAGAGATCTGCTAAAACATTGGCACTGGATTCAGCAAATTAACCTTCCAGTTTAACAGTAAACATGTTTGAGTGTTTGAGGTGCTCACAGCTGGGCACTGTCCTGTAGCAGCAGCTTAAAACTGAACTCGCTGAGGATCTCCAAGAAGGCCACATTTGGGAGCTGCTCCTCTCCTTCCTGTGGGTCCCGAAACGCAAAACGCATACCGTCCCTGAGAGCAAGCACAACACACACAATAGCTCTAGCGTAAAAAACACATTTTAAAACACAGAATGAACAACTTTAGTGTAAAAATTACAACCTTCACGTGTGGCAATTCATTATAAACTCTGAGTTTATTATCAGGAAAGAGGAAATCTGTGTTGGAGGAGACCCATCGTTTGTTTGTTTTTTTACTGAGCTTGTGCTGCTTCAATGAGCTGAAAAACTGCAGTAGGCAATAAGAAAGTAAAACAGTAAATTCAAACTTTAATGAACCGAGTGATAAGCTGACACATCTGGTCTGTATGTGGTGACATTGACATGTGTTTTACTGACATGTGCAGGGCCACCAGTGGTTTGCGGACACGATGAAGATCGACGCCAAAGCTCATGGCGAGCCTCTTGGCCAAGTCTCTAATCTCATTGAGATCCTGCCTGCTGTGGTCCTCCGTTAGCATCTCCGAGAACAGCTGAATACACATGACATGACTTTACGTAAACATCATCATGAAAAATTTTTCCTTTATATGTAAATGGCACACAATCGTCATCAGACCATCATGATGATGTTCGTCAGATGTTGAAGAAAAAACACAACTGTCAGCTGTCAAATGTCTGACTATCAAAATACGGTCAACATTTGGTAAAACTACTTTTAGCATGATGCAGAATTAGTACTATCATCATAATTTATGTCAACTTTCAAACAACAAATTCCCTGTGAAATGTCATGCATTTATTAAAAGTTCATTGCTACCGTACTTCACAAGAAAAATTCCCAGACAGTCTAATTATCAACATTCACATTATTATTAAGGTGTTAACAAGTGCACACCTGCTGGAGGCTCAGGCACAACGTCTTGGCGCTCTGTACAGGACTGATGAGCTTGCTCTTGTTCACAGTCTCTTTAATGATGTCACCAAAGTCTTTAAAGTACTGAAGCAAACCGGAAAAGAAAAGAAAAAAACTCAAGTTATGATCATTAGTCTATTTAATTAACATCACTGGCTAAATGTCTAAAAATGTAAAAATAATTTTCTGTTCTAGTCGTCTGTGCTTCTTTTAGCCACTGTTCCTCTGACTCATTCTTAGCACCTCACTGGTTGTAAAACAGATTCTCTCACCCTCCTCCGCTCTCTTCAACATCCTCTCCATTATTCATTTTTTTATGTTTGAAAAACTTTTCCTAACCTATTAATTTAATGACAGTCTAACTAACCAAATAATTTAACTATTACTAAACTCACAAATTAAACTATTTTTCTTACATATGCTCACAATTGTGAGACCCAACCGGTCGATGAATATCAATGTGTGCTAATAATGTATAATACTAAACTGTCCCTTCAGGCCCTTATCTCCATCTCCACCTTGCTGTAGTGCTTGAACACGTCGGTGGCGGCGGCGAGGTCCAGCACCCCGTAGATGACCAGCTTACAGTAGCCAGCCAGCTGGTTGCGCTTCCTCTGGAGAAGAGTTATCTTCGTCTCTTCCTCACCTTCAGCTAGACAGGACAGCCAGGGTGAAAGAATGGGAAGGTGGAGGAGGAGAGAAGAGACAGATGTGGCAGTAATAGACCAATAGTTAACTTATTCTTTCACATATTGATAACAAACAAGGAAAACAGAACATGTGATGAAAGACTGGTCTTTCACTGTTTGGAAATCTGCAGTACATTGTGAAATACTGGAGAAAAAAAAAAGATAAGTTACAGGAGAAGATTCTCAAAACAAGACATAAAAAACTATGTCCACGGGCATAAATGAGGGTGGGGTCACCTGGGAGACATTCAGCATTAAAATTCAGCATTTCCAAAACACGACATCTGCACAAGGAAAACAAAATCCTTTTTCTGAACGTCACTATTCAAGTGACATCTGCAACCGTGTTCTCACTTTGTCAACACTGTGTCAAAGTGCTTCTGGAAAAGTACCAGAGTTTATGCAAACATTTACTGGAGTGGGTGTTTTTTCACTTGGTGTCAAAGTAACATTGAGTAGGGCTGGAATTTATGATAACGGTATCTTTTTTACATTTGGGTCAACTCTCATCTGCACAATCACTCTATTAGGCTACATAGTAGTAATAGTAGATAGTATAATAGTAGCCGACACATGGAGGGCCAAAACAAGGAAAAAGTTACGGATTCAAAAATAAAATTAGTTTAGAACCATAACAAACCTGTATGATTTATTGAGGATTCAATCCAAAACAGAATACATACCTTGAACTTCAAATTCAAAGGAAGCCTGTGAAATTTTCTTGTAAAATAAGTTATGTTAACATTTAGTGGTATTCACCATAACACACTGTGTGTATCTTTGCAGGCTAAGAAACGTGTTGAATGCATTTCCTTACTCATTATAGGTATTAAATGAATATATAGATAACTCAAAATCAATCAATATGAAAAAGATTGTGACAGTACTTTTGGCCATATAATCCCAGCCCTACCATCCAGCTCAGCATCTTCAGACTCAGTGAAGATGTAGTCCAGGAGGAAAGCAGCCAACTCAGAGCGCAGGGAATCAGAGGGAAGGTGGACCAGAGCTTGGAGGGTGGGATCAGAGCGGACTGAACTCAGACTGTACAACAGAAGCAAGTCACACAGCAGCTCAAATGCCTGTGGATGGAAGGACATACAACCCTTGAGAATTTACTGCATCTCAATATCAAAATTCAGATCTTAACCACTCCAGTATGATGACCATGATGTCAGTTTGTCCGAGCAGCCTGTTCTGTGTCAAAGGATCACACAGGGACAACTTCACCAACGCTTTTTTAATATAGACATTTAAATATTTGTCTACGGTCTCATTTCAACATAATATTGCTGCACTGCTAGTTCATATGTGGGGCAATGCTAATTGTAAGGTAACACTTTACCCCAAGCCCCCTTAATTAACATTTATAAGCAGTATATAAACATTTCCTAAATGGTTTATAACACATGAAAATGTAGTTGTAGGTAGATCTAAGTGATTATTACAATATTTGTCAGCAACTATAATGAAGTGCTCCTGTGGGTAGAGCCTTCTTTATGAACACATAATGAATGACAAAATAGTAAAGTAAACCTTTTATCAAATCTTTGTATGCTGTTTATAAACACTAAATATGGGGACTGTAAGTGAAGTGTTATCACTGTAACTAAGCTCTTACCTGATCTCTGATCTCAGTCTGGTTCAGAGACAGACACGTCTGACAGACTCTGCAGAACGAACGCACCTCCTTCTTCAGACGCTTCAGTTCAGCCTGGAACAGAAGGTGACGGAGGTACAGAGATATATTATCATCTTATCAATGTGTAGATTTTATGTGTGTAGGATTGGAATGAGGTGCAGTGCAAAGTTAATTTTATTCAATGGGCCATATAAATTTAAATTCAGCAAACACACCAACAATAGTAAACCATATGAACTACAACTTCCACCACTAATCAAGGGATTATTATTAGGTTAAAGTATGGAGTTAGTGTAAGGGCAGGGTCCATGGTGACATTAGGGATCCTTAAATCTTGATGACACACACGTCATGTGATGCCTTAAAGAGCTGAAGATGAAATCTGATGTATCCAATCAAATGACTCTCTTCCTGGTAACTACACATCCCAACCTGCTGTCAAAGCATAGAAAAAATTATAGTTTATTGATAAAATTCACCACCATTACTTTGCCCTTATCATCCTAAATGACATGTGGATGCATCTTTACGTGAGTATTTCACACGAGACAAACTCGTCAATTTCAGCAACGCTATAAAACATGAAGACAAGGAAGGCAAACAACACAAGCAAGAGATTTGTATGCGTGTTAAAAAAACAACAACACACAAATGGCTTCATGAGTAACAATGACATGATCAGTGTGTGTGAAACAGAGTGAGAGAAAACCGGCAGAAAAAGAGAAAATGAGCTCAAAAGGAGAACAAAGGATTGAACGAGTGAAGAGGGATTAAAATGAAGAAAGACAGAATGAGACACGACAAATATATGAAGAGAAACAGTAAGAAAAGTGTGAACCAGCAGGAAATACATATCTGAGTGTCGTTGCGGGTTTGGATGCACACTAACAGATTGTTGTGTTAATTGCCTGCTGTCTGCGCAGCTGGTGTATTGTTGAACAACACAGACGAGAACAGCTCCACAAACACACAGGAAGGCCACCAACATGGTCGCCACGAGTTGGCTGTGGTGTGACAGCAATCATGAAAGTATTACTCATGTAGGTTGGCCTATGTCATGCAGGTAGGCAGGGTGTTAGTGTGTGAAAGACTGAGAGAAGGTCAAACTTGTTCAAAACATCAAATGGAGATAAAACTTTTGTGGTCTTTTATGATGTCAGCTGCGCACCTCGTCTGGTTTGGAGTTAACCGCATTCACTTTGGCCCACATCAGGTGAAGGGCTGCACACTTCAGAGCTGACACCATCAGCTGAAATTATAAAGAAATGCGATAAAAAATGTTTTTAAAAATCAATTTTGTAGAGATTTCAGTGCAATCAGCAAAAATATTTTAATTCAGGTCTTCCAAGCTGATTCCTATCTACATAAAACCAATAGAATAATTAAATATGCCAAGCTGAAAAAGGCCTCTATAGGATAAGAAGCAAATGTCAGAACTTCATTTGACTAAATTCATCAAACTCCTTGTTTAGCCCAAACACTAATGTTCTGAGCAAAATTCAGGTGGCACGAATCAAAATCAAGTCAACAAAACAATGTGGTCACTTAATACAATTTACATGATTCAACAATCAATTTTCAGCTGCATGAAGCATATCTTACATTTTTGTTTTTCTTGATTATCATAGAAAATCTCTGATCTGTCAGGGGTTTGAACCACCTGAAGCTAAGGCCTCTATTATCACAATGCACCACTCAAATATCAGTGATCATCATAAACCTCCTTGTCGAGCTCTCTGGACTCCATCCTGCTCTTCAGCAGTTCAAGACAGGAATCGAACAGCTTCCAGCCTGTCAGGTCCTTAGCACTGGACAACAAGAACACACAAGACACACAGACAACACACAACTCATCTGTATAAAAATATATAGGTTAGCTTGTACAACTACCATGTGTATTGTAAAAATGCACACCTACCTGCTCAAAGCAGCAATCCTTTTCAAGGCAGTGGCTGCACAGTATGTGTCATTCTCATCCGCAATCCCCTAGTTACACAAACACAAACTCTTGAGAGAACAGATGCTTTACATTTTTTGTTTGTTTGTTTTACAACAGAAACAACATGTTGAATAAAAACCAACAAATCCATTAGGAAAAGATATGCTGTCATTAAATATCGGGCTGGTTGTGAATACATTTTTTCCTGCTCAACTGAGCAACATCACAGAAAGGACACTTCATATTGCTAATACAGGAAGGATGCATGAACTGTTACTTCTACAGCTGCCAACTCTGTAAGAGCATGTGTGTATGCATTTTAATACATGCCATATTTGCCTGTATGAAAACTTCACTGACACACTCACCCACCTGGAGCACGTCACTTAAATATGTGCTGAAGCACTCGGTCAGGCTGTCCAACAGCTGGCTGAACACCAGGTGTGCGCGGGAGGAGAAGGTGTAAGAGTCAGAACACAGAGTGCAGGCCAGGTGGGAGCAAGCCTCCAACACAGTGACCTCGGTGTGCTTCTCCACAATGCCACATACCCGGGACAGCAGCAGGTCCAGATGCTGAAAGAAAGAGGGGAGAGTGGACAGGGGAAGATGTAGGAAACAGAAGACACCAAAAAATAGAATATGCATTGCTTGGGACAATTTTATTTAGTTTACTGGTTTTCTAACTCACTCATGGAGCAGCCAGCAACCACAGGATAATTTGAGTATTTTAATTAAATTCTGAAGACAAGTACCTTCACAGCTGGGCTCCTCATACTCATCCTCATAAGTGCAGACGAGATTGGTGAGAGTCTATGTGGGTGTAAACTTTTGTATTACAATGAAATTGGACATACAACAAATTTTCACTGTTGCTCCACTTCACTGCAGTAATTCGTACCCACTGAGCACTTCGACACCACCGGCTCGCTTATTTTGTGTCCAAAAATCTCTTCTGGTGATGAATTTCCTTTTACAACAGAATACAGTGTCTATCTACTTTATCTTATTTACACGCCTGCTGTTGTCCACTGTGTGCCCACCCCATCACCAACCTGCGACAGGTGAGCTCATTAACTGAAAATTCCCATGGTCCCTGACCAGCAGGTTAGTTTTTGTTCCAATTTGTTTTATTTGTTTATTTCCTCTAATAATTAGTTTAAAATAACCATTTGTCATTTACTGTTCCCTTGTGTTATTAATATGACAATGCAAGTCATCAGACCAGATTAACTCTGAAACCCTAAATAGGACAGAAATCATTAAAAAATGTCTGAGCGCCAGCGGCTCAGTTCCTTCTATTTTTTCCCCTCTGTTCTAATTTTTTCCCTTGACGTATTAGACTACCATCTCAGCAATATACTTTAGAAAGACAGCATATTAAAGTGTGTATTGGATCACAGTATGAAAAAAGAAGGACTTTCAATCATTTATTTAGGGAAATTCTATTGCCTTTCCACACTTCCAGTCCTCCTACCTTCTCCAGCCACTGAGCGCTGCTGTACATCTCCAGGTCGAAGTAGAGGGGAGCTTTGAGAAGGAGGCTCACCTTCCCTGCATCTGCTGAGTACTGCAGGTCAGCATATAGCACAAGCTCAGTATTTCAAAATAAAAAAAAACAAAAAAACAAATCAAACGTATTTGATATAGTCATGTGACCTCTAATATACAATGACATTAATACAGAATTACTCTTCAGTGTAGAAACTAAGGTGGGCACTTAAAATAACTGCCAAGCACTTTTAACCCTTTGTGTATAACGTACTGGATTAAACAACCTGCAGTATCAAGTATGTTAAGTGAACTGTGGCTGTGTACCTTGGTCAGTAGCTGTGGCAGTAAAGGGATGAAGTGAGTAGTGATGCGTCTCTTGTCTTGTTCCTGCATCTTCTTATCCTTCATACTCAAGATCTAATCACACATTTACACTCAGTGAGCGGGAACAGGCAATCAGTCACGACATTTACATGCACATGTGCGCAGATGAAAAAAGGCACATATTGTAAGTGCGTCCACTATGTTTCACATGTGTAAGTTACATGACCACAGACGGGACAATTACCACCACTGCACCGGAAAACCTGAAATGTTTATGAATTATGTGGTTGAATATTTTCATGGAACCATATAAGAGGTCAGTAAACTGTGCTATTAGAGGCTGTTGGGCATCCATATTGATATACTTTGTTGTTCTGAATATTCCCATATAAATGACCAGAAATTAAATGAATATGTTCACTGTACTAAAATAACACTCTTTCAAACAACGTGCAACATTTCATGCCCAGCACTTGTCATTCACTGTAATTAACCATCCATCTTAAAATGTGATCTAGCCTGAGACTGAGGAAATCTAGTATTAGTCAGTGGAAACACATATTCAGACAAATAAACCAGACCAGAAAGTTTCATACTGTAGCTTTAGAACTATGACTTTTTGTATGATAGGTGAGTAGAGAGGTAAAAACAAAGAATGATATTTCTCTCACCCCCAAGCTCCACCGTGCCATAAACCATAAAACTACAGAGAATTATGTGTGTATTTGTGTGTCTGTGTGTGTCATCACCTTCTTGCCCTGAGTTCTCCCAACAGGTGGGGTTGCCTGTGCTGCCTGTCTGATGGCACACATCATCAGGTCTATGAGAGCCCCCTCCTCCTCGTACACCAGACCTGACAACAGAGAGGCAGAGACAGGAGCAGAACTGAGTGGGTGATGGTTGAGACAACACAGAGCAGGGAACAGAGACGGAGCAGCACAAGTTGGAAGACGGAGCAAATTTGATGTTTTTATTTGCACTGTGATGATACATGAGAATTATCTTTTACGTTAAGCTGGGCTGTCTGCACTGACTCCATGAGTCCATACCCAGCAGTGAGTGTTGCTCAGACTGCTTATCGTGTCTACACAGTCTCATTTCATTCCTCTCACCAGCCTCCTGTAGCAAGAGCGCCGTCATAGTCTCCCAGTCTCTCAGCTCGGACCCTGCCACATCCCACAGACTGTCCACCAGGTACGCCCCGTGCTCATGAAACTGTTGAGAGTGAATGAGTTCTTTTACCTCAGGTGTACAGCACCGGTGCGTTACTGAACTATACTCCATCATTCAGAATTTAAGATGTAATTGGATGTTTTGCTGTTGCTGTTGTGAAAATAAGATCTCCTGCTAAGTCTTGTGTCCACTGTAGCATTTCATAGCAAAGTCTCAATAAAACATCATTTGAGGAGTATAAACAATGTTTATTATTAGTCTACTTTTCATCATGAAAACATAACTGCAAATGTCCTGTAGGAAACATTGGTGGGAGTTTACTTTGGATCCCATTATTTTAGCTTTTTTGGTCAATCTGTTTGTGCTCCTTAAAATCACACTGCCAGAAAAAATATCTGACTTCTGTATATATTCAAACATTATTCAATTTTATATTCAGGCAAAATATAGAACAAAAGACTGAACTAAAGGAGTTAGAGCAGATTATCTATATGCGCATTTTATCACATTGTCAAATTATTCTACTTTCAAACAAAGGGGGAGAGAAAGAGAGTAGGAAATGTCCTTCTACCTCACTCTGGATGTAGAAGGAGATGAGGATTTGAAAGAAGGCTGCATTGCCACTTTTTTCATTCTCCTGGTTGTCACTGGCAATCATACTTTTCAGCCTGACACACACACAAACAATAATCTTCAAATTATATCAACCAAAAATATAGAAATGAGTAACTGCGGATGATGAGAAAGTCTGATTCCACATGCAGGCGGCAATAAAATAACGTAATCACACCACAAACCGCACTAGAAAAAGGTTGTCAAATACAGAATGAGTCACACATACAAAAAACACCCTAAAAGAAAAACATTACCACTCTGCACATTAGTCTGACAATGTGAGGAAAGGAAGGATGAAAGTGTACTTGTTGTAGAAGAAGACGCCGGCTGCAGATGCTAGGCCTCGGTGTGACGCGTATACCAGAGGATAGATGTGGCCGCACTCATCTTCACCCAGGCCTTCCTCTGTCTTCCTGCATTGTGGACAAATACAAACACATACAAGTCAATTAGTGTCACATTAAAAATACAATGTGGAAAATCTCTTTCTCATCAAGAACTGGACTTATTCTTGTTAAGTGATTTGTTTTGATTTTTGACAGAAATTTTCTTGCACGATAGGATTTTTAAACAATATTTTTTAATTTTTAATTAAAACAGACCTTTAATAACCAGCAGTTCCAGATCTTGAATTTCATTACCACTCTGTCATCTCTCTTGTTCATCAATCTTTAAAACATCTAATTAACATGTGACTTGAGTCAGTTGTGTGAGGTGTTGGCCAACGTGAGAGATCACGACTCATGTTGTGAATCATAAAAAATCATAACAAAGAGTGTTATCACAGTCATTAGTAACAATTTCACATCTATTGTTGAGAAGCTGTATTATTGTTGCAGAGCACAAATGTGAACAACCAGGATATATTTGCTTCACTTGAAATGTTTTACTCAGGCATCTTGAAGAGTCTCTCATTCAGGGATTTGACGCAAAAGCTTCAAACCTTTAAACCAACACTACCCATATGAAGTATGGTATATATGGTGCAAAGACTAACTGGATTCAGCAAAAAGATTTAGTTAGCATTATAACTAATGCTCTAAACTGCAACTGAATATATCTTTTTTGTAAGTAAAGCTTAAAAATATCTATGCAGAAAAGATGAAAAGGCGCTTGAAATTGTATTAGTAAAATTTACTATCTTTGGCATGTCTTGATCTCCTAAAATGAAATGCCTGCACTGTATGTTGGAAATAGCGCCACAGAGAAGCCACCAGAGACAGAAAAACCCCTCACTGTTGGATCAGCAGCAACAGATTGACCACTTCCACTGCCACGTCTGTGTCCTTGTCCAGCACCATGCTGAGCATCCTCTCCTAAACACACACACAGACACACAGACAAATGCACAATCATGCAAGCAAATAAACAGGCATAAATAGGACATTCACAGACATGCATCAATGTACCCACACCCACAGACACACATGCACGCGCACAAACCCAATGATTAGACACAAAGCCGTGGCATGAAAACCATTTATCTGCTGCAGCACATGCGGCTTAGGAGGGTTTTTATGTGTTTGAGAAGAGCTTATTAACCATCAGTAACCAGCAGCAATTAACAAACCCAGACAAAGGAATAGACCAGACCATCAAAACAGGAATGGCGGGGAAAAAAAAAAAGGAAAGGAAATAAGGGGGGGGGGGATAAAATACTGGGAAGGGGGGCATAGGCAGGGAAAAACAAACCCAATGATTAGACACAAAGCCGTGGCATGAAAACCATTTATCTGCTGCAGCACATGCGGCTTAGGAGGGTTTTTATGTGTTTGAGAAGAGCTTATTAACCATCAGTAACCAGCAGCAATTAACAAACCCAGACAAAGGAATAGACCAGACCATCAAAACAGGAATGGCGGGGAAAAAAAAAAAGGAAAGGAAATAAGGGGAGGGAGTACAAAATACTGGGAAGGGAGACATAGGCAGGCAACAAAACAAAAACAGTACAATAAGCTGAAACAATAGATTAAAGAGAGATGCTGAGGCAGACAGACATAGGGGAAAAAACGAGGGAGAAAAGAGGAATTAAATGAGGTGTGAGCCCAATCCAGAGGGATGCCTCACTTTAAATCTGCTGGTGAAAAGCTCCAGGCGGCCAATGAATTCCTTCTCCTGGTACAGACCCTGCAGGGCACGCACACACTGCATACGCACTGGACTTTGCTAAGGGAAGGGAAAAAAGAAGAGTACAGTAACACACTTTCTCTAACCTGCATACAGACTAATTCCCAAGTCTGTTCACAGTGAACACTTCTCTTTGTGCAAGTGTGTATGTGATCCTTCTTGTGTCTGTGCGCAGCTGGTCTACAGTTGTGTCTGGTATGAGGGGCTGTCAAAGCCTGTTACGAATGAAAATAAAATAAGAAGTGGCTCAGTCTGTACTGCACAATTCCCCACACACTGCAGTCCTTGTCACTGTTGTTTTCACTGCTGGCCTGAAGAGAGCTGCAGACAGAAAGGTGCTACTGCTGTGTTACGTTTTGTTGCCGGTCATGGGAAATCAGGAAATAAATGAAAGACATTACACTTTTAAGAACACTTTATTTTGTAATGTAGTTTCAATTGTCTTGTCCTGTGTGTGTTCAACCTTATCGTGCAAGGTCCAGCCCAGGTATTTGAGACATCCATCATTCAGGAAGTCTTCAGGGTCCGTTTTCAGCCACTTGCCAAGCTCCTCAATACATGCCACCCGGATCTCAGGCAGCCGATCCCGGTAACGGTGCACAAACACACCACGGAAGCTACCGTTCATCATGGAGGAAAGCTCCTCTCTTTTCTCCCACAGCTAGAACACATACATGCGAAACAAATGCATATAGACATGTACAACCAGGACTGTGAATAAATCAGTAGCCAAGTCACCCGGGCTCCTGTCCACATGTTTCATCCGTTTTTTTACAGTGTGTGTTCCAGCTGAGGCAATCATCTTTGTTGCTTTGAAGACCAATCATCACAGCCTAAAATGTTCCTCATGTCCAACTTTTTCCAGATTTTATAGCGACTAAGGAGTAAAAAAAAAAATCATACAAAAGTATCTTTTGTTCTACTCCTAATGCTACTTTATCAGTTTTAATAATGACACTTAAAGCATGCATTATCTGTTGTCCCTGATATAAAGGCTCCTGTCTTTCTCAGAATTTCTGTGTTTTACAATGCATGACAAGTAGGGGGAGGAATTTCAAACCACACAGCTAATAAAAAAACTGTTTCTAACAAGCACGTTGCCAAGAACCTATTTGAAACTGTTTAGAGGGGTTTCAGGCAAAACATATCTTATATATCTATATTTCAGTTTGATCACTGTTAACAATTGAGAAAACATTGGTCCTCTCATTGTCCTTTGTGTCCTTTGTATCCTAAAACAAACTTCCAAGATTTTCCTCATAAGGTCAATGTCACTTTAATGTCCTGACCTGCATGTTTATGTAAGAGTGACTGTGTCTCCACTCATGCCAGCGTTTGTGTGTGTGTGTGTGTGTGTGTGTATATATGTGTTACCTCACTGATGGTGGCCTGCAGCTCCTCCAGTCTGTCAGAGGCTCTGTCATGTGCCCTCTTGCTGCTCTCAGTGTTGTGTTGCCGCTGGGTGGTCTGCAGCTGAACAGACACTAGCACAGCTACTTCCACCACCCCAGTCATCAGCTTCATGGCTAAATAAAAAAAGAAAATAGAGGTTAACAAGGTCAGTCTGGGAGGTTTCACTGGCATGGAGTTATTGAAGAAAAAAAAAAAAAACTGAATGAATCCTTAAAAAACAAACAAACAAGAAAACCCTTCATGTCCTGCCCTTTTGGCTGAAGCCAAACCCTGGCTTCCTCTTTAAAATGCCAGTTTTCACTTCATGGTATTCATTTTTTCAACAGATTTTACAGTTTTAATTTAGAAGTATGTAGCACCCAAGAGGTAAATTCACAGTCCGTGTTTATGGAGCAGGTTATAAACTATGTGCCATAAAAATCCTCAACTGGTGACTGAAGCCTTTTTAACAGCAGTATAGAAAGTAAATCCTTGACAATAAAGTACAGTACTAATCATATTATGGATAAGCTGTTGAATTTTATTTGGTGATTTGGTCGTAAGAAAGGAACTAATTACATGGTTAAGCAGGGGCTGCAAAAGAATACAGTGAGAAACAACAAAAGCAAGCTGTATAGGATGAGTATATTCTGGAAAAACAAAAGAACTTAAAACAGATGTCAGCTGAAAGGAGCAATTTGTTCTGCCGCCCGGAGAAGCTAAAACCTCTGGTATCACAGGCATGGAGTGCAGGTTTTCAAACTAAAGCGAGTGACTTCAGTGACTAATATACAAAAGTGAAAACTACCAATCAAAGAGTGTAGCCTCAAAGCTCCCCTGTGAAATCAGAATACTTTTCTGTTTTAGACACCTGTATTGTACCAATATGCTTACCAAAGAGGGTGCTGGTGTGCCTGAAGGCTCGGACCTGGGAGTCAGACAGGCCAGTGAGCAGGGCCAGCAGGGAGGGGAAGAGGTATTCATCATAAATGAGGCTATTCTGAGAGGAGCGCACCAGAACCTGAGCAAACTCGCACAGGCCGGCTTTGAAACGCTTCTGTTGGGGGCCTGAAGTGGACAGAGGGTAGTTCACTGAATCCTGGAGGAAGACAGGTAACAAAAGAAATGGAGGAAACATCTTACACTGTGCTTAGTATAGTTATTTGAGGCGGAAGCCTGTGGTTTGCTCTGCTAATGACGATTATGTCGGCAGCGAAACAAAGTGATTAACTCATTAATGTGTCCATTTATCAGTATTTAGAGATTAATTAGTGTGTTCCATCACACTGTACTCCATCCTTCAGATGATAATCTCCTGGGATATGGAGGTCATTCGACTTTCTCAACTAACTCCAGCAGGATTATTAGTAGACAGAAGGGATGACTAACCCTAAATGCAATTGCTGATCTATAATAATAATAATAATAATAATATTCATTTTTAGGATTTATTTAAACGAACATGAACTATATCTGCACAAGTGTTTTTCTTTTCTCACCTCACTGAACTCCTTAGTTAGTGTGCTGATGATCTCAGCATTCTGCATGCTGTCAAACATCTCTCTACTAACCACACCTGCACAAAAGAATAAAAGGTTAACACAATGTTCCACATTAGGAATTAAAGTGGACTAAGATAAGAATACTGATACAACAGTGCTGGTTCTTCAAAAGTTTAATTACATGATATGATTTCTTTTCGTTTTCACTGCACCCTCACAAATATTGATATAATGTGTTGTCAGTGGACAGAGGATTAGCACAGCCCTTACACACTGCATCGTTAGCATAGCAGGAGATCAATAGCAGACTGCTGATCATTGCCTGAGCTGAAATTGAAAAGATAATCTGTTCAACTTTGACCCACACCCCCCACCTCTCATCTCCTGGCCTCCCTCTTGACCTCTGACCTTTGCATCCGCAGGCCCGAACAATGAAGTTGATGAGCACCAGCAGCCCCACCTCTCGGTTTTGCTTGTAGCTGTCCAGCCATTCGTCCACCACTGCCTTAAGATTGACATAGAGATAGCAACCAATCAGAATGCTGCACTCAGATCAAAGAGCAGATGGATATGATAATAATATATCGTTTGAATAACATTATCGAGTTCAGCTTTAACCTTTCTTCCAACCACTGGTCTTTTGTGTTTTACTTTGTAACATATGTGCGTGTGCATGCCCCATCTTTTTCTTCCCCTTATATTTCTGGCCTTCCAGTTTTATTCACCAACTCCTTTGCATAATCATTTTTGTCAACCGTAGCACGATTATACATACAAAGACACTCCTTCAGAGCATCTGTTGTATTAATAATAGTGTACATTTGAAATGCAGTAAATGCAATGTAAAAAAAAAAGGAGTAAAATTTAGCCAAAAACTGAGGAACCTTCGAGATGCTATTGAATTTCTCAAACTGCTATTTACTAGGTTTGCTGATGTGCTGTATGAGAGTGGGGCTTCACCTAGAATCACCACCTGCATTGTGTTGCTGTTCTATTCTGTAGTGACAGACTCTTTTTTATTACTGATCACCACACTTTTTTTTGTCTTTCTATTGTTATATGGTCCCTCTTTTCTAGTCTTTACCCAGAGGAGACTGGGTATAGGACAACAATAGTTGGGATGGACATGTGCTGTCAATCATTGACTACACTACTCCTTCCTCTTTGCGTATCAAAGGCAATTCTGTAGGGTCACATCAGTCAGCCACTGACAGCACATGATAATCTGTCTCATGGTAAGCTCTTAGAGGGCTGTTTCTCTTTTCATTACACATACCTCCTTCAACACCTCCCTCCCTTCATGTGTTTATCGCTGCAAACCATTCCCCCTTCCTTCCATGTTCTTCAGCTGAGTGTTTGCTTACCACCATAGCACTCTTTCCAGAGCGAACTGCATCATAGATATCCTCTGCACTGATACCCTGGTTCCCCTCATTCACTCTACTCACAGGTCTGTGAGAGACCTGCCTGGATGTCCCCTGGGAGTGCTGCTGCTGCAGGGAGGGGTTTAGAGGAGTGGGGATGGGGCTACTGCTGAGGCTACTGCTGGGGCTGGATGTCGCCCTCAATGCAGCTTTACGCCTGGGTCTCTTGGGTGGCTTGAGATGAAAGAGAGATGGAAGAGCAGCTCAGCAGGGGATTTAAAGTGAATTGATGTGGTCAACTGAAGTAGTGGTAGGTGTGGCAAGATATGGTGCAGGCTTGAATCAAACAGCGATCTCACTGTTGCATGACTTCAGTTAAGCCTTTTTGATCATTTACAAGAACTGAGAGATGTTTGACAATGATACAGATTGTTTCAATACCATAAAAAATAATACTTTGACAAAAGCATAAGCTACTCTCTGATCTACTCCCTGGTGATCAATGTAAATGAGTAGCATCTAAATAAGCAGGAACTAGTGAAAGTAAATAAGATAATTCACCTGAGGTCCAGGAACTACCGGCTTCCTTCGCTTAGTGGGTTTTATTGTGGCCTCATAATCACTGCCAGAGTCTGAGAAATCATCCAACTCCTCAAGACTAATAGACAAAAAAGGAATCAATAGAAAGCCTAGCATCAACAAATCATTCAAACATTCAGTTGTTGCACATGGGGTATCATTTATTACTTTTTGCTGTGCAGTTTTGGCTGCTATAGATGCAAATGCTTTGCAAAATGTGCCATCTTTGACATCTCCTTTTCTTTTAAGAGAATAACAAATTGTTTAGGTTCTGTTCATTTGTGGACACAATTTTACATCATTTATGTGCTACTGATAGATGCCATACTTCATATATCACATATCAACTCTGTTCAACAACTGTGCATGAACGTTTTACTTTGTGATACGAGTCTGTGGAGTTAAGCTGAAACATTCAGATGGCTGAGTAGGATTAACTTTGGGTTTGAATAACTTTACCTGTCCAAAACAGAGTCTCCAGCTGCCATTTTGGGTGAAGGAGGCTCCAGGGACGGCGTGCTACTGCTGGTTAGCTGGTCTTTGCTAACACGTTTCAGGTGAAGGAGGACAAAAACTTAAAGTTAGCTACAAGAGCAAAACTAGCTAGCACATTTGATAAAACTAGCTAGCTAGCTACGTATACAACCTCATTTACAGTATTTCAAACGTCGATTATCGGACTTGGTCGACTAACAATGACCTAACTAATAAGTCCAACCAACAGACATTTTTTACAGACATATCTTTTCACAAATGGGACCAAATCTTCGTTAAAGAAATCTTTTCCGATAATGGATCGGAAATTACTCATAGTAGAGGATCCCTAGAACAGAAGACATTTTACCGTATCCAGCTAACTACTAAAACTAAATTATTCAATAACCATTATCCGAATGATGATTGCACAATTTTACCACCTGATAGTACAATTACTACGATATGTTCCTTTCTTCGGAGGCTGATTTATCGTGATTTTTTTCTCTTGTCATTACCTGGTCAGACACAAGGGCGCGGAAAAGTATGTCAAGTGATTCTGGATGCTGATTGGCCAGCGCCTCTTCAGCTCAGAAGGTGATTGGTCCTTTCAGAGGGTCACTTAATTATCATTGGTCAATCATAATACACCGTCATTCACTCTTTTCCAATTGAACTACTCCTGAATAGTATAGGAACACAACTGTAAAATATTTATTTGCCCGACTCTTCGTATGGATATTTCTTCTATAAAATTCTACATTTTATGTCATATATATATATATATATATATAGTTTTGTATCCGTGTGTGCTCTTTCAGTCTGTCTGATCTGTGTCTGTCTGTCTGTGTCTGTCCAGTTTTTAGGACCCTGAGGTGGTTGGCTCAGCTGCTCCCCGCCCCGTCACCGCAGGCTCCTCACCCCTCTCTCCTCTGTTGGTCCTCCGCACGGTCCATTGTTCTGTATTTGATGGGCTATGGCCGGAGTCAAACAAGCCAGGGTGAAACATACAACTTCTGGTCCGATACTTCAAAATAAAATATTTATTGCCCTTGCAATGCTTACTAGCAAAAATGATTACAACACAGTGGATGCATGGGCACAGTAAGAGGCCCCCATACCTTGCTATGAAGGAACAAGAGATCCAGACTGAAAGAGATACATAACTATAAATAGTGAAGCAATGGCAATTTTTCTCTCCTTGCTGTCATTTTGAGTCACTCTATAGTAGTATCTCAAGTCGTTTTGAATCTCTTTGGGGTTGTTGTTCATCCCTTTGTAGTCGTTTTGGGTCTTTGTAGTCATTTTTGTGTCTTATCGTAGTCTGTTTGTGGTCATTTGATTGATTTGCCAACAAGAAATATAAAGTCCCTTCAAGCAGAGGCCCTTCTATACCCTTGGACCCCCTGGGCCTGTGCCCAGCAGGCTGTACAGTAATCCATCCATGCGCAGGGGCATAACACATTAATCCCTCAATGGGATTAGTCCTGAATTATATAAATAAATCTTTCCTTTCTTATATTTCCTGTGTGACAATGAAACTGACTACAAAGTTGCTCATCTTGAATATATTACTAGGGGTTACCTTGAACCTTATTTACTATCTGGTGGAAATGTCTGTCCCTAACCATAAATTCTGCTCTTCTAAAATGCAGACAAAAACCCAATTTGGAACACACTGCACTGTATAATTGGTGTATAAATTTCTAATTGAGTACATGTATTATTATTATTTTTTTTAATATTGCCTTTTGAATTTTTACACTTTCAGAAAAGGCTTTGACTTGCCTTGTTGGAACAAGGCTATGCAAATAAACATGCCTCTGCTTTTATTTTGAAATGAGCCACCTTTCCGGTATTTCCCAGCTAACTCCCGTGGATTTGACGGAGTTTGTTAGAAGATGCTGAGGAACGGGAGTGCCCCACTCGCACTCCCTTTACACTTACGTACATCAGCGGATCTCCCAGGAAGGACAAATTAACGGGACACAGTCGATGGAAACGTGTGTGTGATGTAAAAACCCGGTCCGGATGCGTCGGTTCATTGCACTTATCGGGAAAACTATGGCTGTTTCTAAAGACTGACTATTTGGGACACTACTCTTTTTACTTTTCCGTTCATCCAAACCGGCCAGTCATTCATTCAATCATTTATAAGCTGCTGCATCCTGTTTGTAGACTATATAAACCCATCCCCTCCATTGGTGTACGTTTCTGAGTCCTGCCGTGAGGATGGATACCCGGCTATCTTTCCCCAGGTACCCGCTGCTGGTGCTGCTCTGCACGGTCGCTGCTCTGTCAGGGATCCGGAGCCCAGTGGCTGCTGCTGGGAGGAGCTGCGCCGACACCCGGCAGGTGTACGCGGAGAAGGGGTACGGCACAGACATCGCTCCGCTGACTCAGATCTCCGGTAAGACTCTGCACCTAGTCTCCGGTGGGGACAATTTACGCAGTCAGGCAGTTTTTGGGACTCACTCTCCCAAAGAAATATTTGTTTAAGTCAAGTTTACAATAAAATGTAAGATGCATGTTGCAGCAGAGATGTAGGCGCGTCAGCATGCTCTACTTTGTCTCATGGACATGGATTAAATTACCATTATGCCCACTAAGGTCACCATAAATTCTCTGGCCGGTAACACAAAGACTCCTCAAATCATTAGGTCAATATTATATCAATATTTTAGCAGAAAAATAATAAATAAAAATATCCCAGACACACTACAAATCACTATAACAAAGTGATATAAAGAAAGTACAGGTTGCCTCGAAACTCACTAATAAGCACCAGAAACACCCTGTAGGAATATCATGGTGAGTTTTCCTCAAGAGAAACGATGCATGGTGGTTTAAAACAAATTACACCCGCCCCCTCCTCCCCTCTGTGCTGTTTAAATAGGATGATTAAGGGGATGAGCAAATTGCCAACACCGGTGCAACAAAGAACCTCGCCCTAATTAGTCTTTGCCTACTGGCCCACTGTTAAATCCCTGCATATACCCATAGGCTCTGTTCATTGGTGATAATCTTATCTGCTGAATGAAAAGATATAATGTGGATTACAAACAGTTGGATTTTTGATATTTGGAAGTTTTGGTGAGGGGGTGGGATAGAGGAGATGAGGAGAGAGTTGGAGTAGATAGTAGGCGGTTTGTTAAAATATGAATGTCTGACCATGTGAGCAAATGATGGAGCCACTTGAGTGGCTGAAGATGTAACCTACTTCTTGGAGGATTAGTATGTTAAAGGGAATGTGTGTGTGTGCTGTGTGTGTGTGTGTGTGTGTGTGTGTGTGTGTGTGTGTGTGTGTGTGTGTGTGTGTGTGTGTGTGTGAGGCTACCCGCAGACAGATCTGGAGCTTTGAATATAAAGAGTAATATTTCTGAGTGAAATGTATGTTAATTCAGAGGATTTACTTTGAGGTAATTCTGCTGTGTGTGTGTGAGTGACTGAAAAAACTGCAATATTGATTGATTTTGTGTGTGTGTGTGTGTGTGTGTGTGTGTGTGTGTGTGTGTGTTGGGCTATCACTGCCTGAGTCTTGGCTCACTGTCCCGTGGGCCAGGGGAGCAGATGGCTGGGAGAGCAAAGGATGAAGCGAGGCAGTTTAGAAATGGAAATAGAGGGATGAGAGAGGGCTAATAGTGAGACACACAGAGAGAACAAAAGAGACAGTGAGTAACATCAGCGAGGGTGGAGTTGGGACTGAGACTTTCAACTGCATTAATTGTAGTAATATTCATGGTGGATGTAAAATTATAGAGACAAAGAATTCAAACCTGCACCACGTTTTGAATGCTGTGTGTTATTTTTCCCTCCTGGTTGTCATTTGCATATCATTACCTCTGACATATCAAAGACCCAACCTGAGCGGACAAAGAAAGACAGATTGAAGCTGAATAATTCATGCAGGGAAATTACAATTTTTCATCAAAAGCTTATCTTTGATAAGATTTCCCTATAGTAACAAAACAGACTGATAAGTGGAGGAATTGACTCTTTCACTAAAAACATCTGTTTTGATCTGGGAATAGATCCACTGACGTTATTGAGAGTAGCTCTTGTTTTTTGTTGAGGTATTAATAATGACTTTATTTGTAGCCATATAGCACTTTTAAATGTAAAGATAAAGCCCAAAGTGTTTGTTTTTTTGCAGATTCAAAGCAAAAACATTATGTTATGATTGAACCAAAACAATCAAATGTATCCACATAAGTTTCTGAGTGTGTGATCGTTCCTAACCTTTCTTTCTCTGCTGGCCTGGTTTTATTTTCCAGGTGAGCACCTGCGGCTCTGTCCTCAGGACTACACCTGCTGCTCCAGTCAGATGGAGGAGACGCTGGCGCTTCAGAGTGATAGGGACTTCCTCAGAGCCGTTGAAGACAACAGCCAGTTCCTTCTGACCACCTTCACCCAGAGACACCGCAGATTTGATGGTGAGAGGCCCACTCAGAAGCTTGTACAGTTATTATATTTAATGGGATCATTACCTGGTTTGAAATTGGTTAAAAAATCCTTCCTCTTTTTGCAGCCACAGTGGGTACATTTGATGGAAAAAAAACTGCACTCAGTTGGTCTTCATCTCACACTCCCCTATCTACCAAGTTTGCAGCAATGAGTGACAGCTGATTAAAAACTTATTTAAGATCTCGTACTGCACAGTTCCTCTCAGATGGTCAGATATCTGTGCCACAAAATTGACTTTGGCAGCTAAAAGCGCTGCACTGCATACATATTGCAAAGATCCTAGTATGATTCATATCCATGTTTAATCAATGCATGAGAACTGCTGACATTAAAGGAATATTCCAGACTGCGACAGCTATTGCAGTTTCATAAAGTGTGGGGACTCACAGGAGATAGATAATAAAAATTAGGGTTACAATTGAAGCAACAGAGGATGAGATATTCTGACATTAGTCCCTTAAGTTCCAGAAGCACTGCATCCTACATTTCCCATAATGCAACGTAATGCTGTCTTTATTTGCACCCTTCCTGCCTACATTTCTTAAACTCCACACCTCCAGTTTTTATCACAGGCTTTGTCAAAAACTTGTAGTCTCGAAGCTGAGATAACCCTGATGACATCACTATGACATCATCAGCGTTATTTTTTTTACTTTAAAAAGCTTGATTCAGAGCTATAGAAGACAGTTTTCACAGGCTTTCACAGTAGGACTATGCATGGCCACTAAACTCCCCTTCATGTGTAAAATTGGTGGAGTGGCCCTTTAAATAATTGTCAGTGTAGGAGAGTTTTAATGACTAATTTCGTCCATATTGTCTCATATTCTGTCTGTACGGCTGCAGGTTTGTAGCAGCCACAGCACAGAGCTGAATGTACACTTCCTCCTCCCACCTGCTCTGGACTGCTAAGACCTTTTTTCCCTCCTCATCCTTTTATATAATGCATGTGATGAATCATTTAAAAATGCTGAAGGAGTGGGAGACTGAATATGAGTCTATAAGATGGATTTTAAATAAAGTACATGTTGTTACACTCATTTACCAGAGTGCATGATCTGATGTAACTGTCCCTATGAGCTGTTAATCTGAGAGGGAGGGGATGGGGGGGTGGGGTGTGTGACTGAGTGCCTACATAGAAACCTGGCCAAGATATTAGAGGAAAAGAAGTTGGGTGACAGTTTGATATGTAACCTGCTTCTGCTTTTTTTTTTTGTCTCCCTGCAGAGTTCTTCAGAGAGCTTATAGACCTATCAGAGAAGTCTATGAACCAGATGTTTACCAAGACCTACGGCCGTCTCTTCACCCAGAATGCACACGTCTTCCAGGAGCTGTTTGTGGAGCTCCGCAGATATTATTCTGGTTAGTTCAGTGACCTAATTCACCACAGCCAACAATGTTAATAGAAGATGAGATTTCAAAAAAAGGAACTCAAATTATGGTTTTATGCATTTAGATAGTCTAATGGTTTTTACAAAGTGGTACCGGTTAGGATTTGGTTAGGATTGGATTTGCTACATGAATCAATAAAATTAGGGGCATCCTGGTGGTTTTGTGGTCTAAGATGCATGCTGTGTAATTGCAATGTCCACATTTCTAGCTGTGACCCTTTTTTTTTTTTTGCAGGTCTTCTCCTTACTCCCTTGCCATATTTTCTGTCAGTCTCCACTCTGAAATGTCAAATAAAGGCAAAATACGAATGACAGTTCTGGACATTTTAGGCAGTACAGTATTTAAAACCCAGGTTAACCCACCTTCTATTAACTCTCATTCAACACTCTCTGAATTGGTATGATGCAATAAACATCTTCTGTATTTTTTTTGCATCAAAATAAAAATGAATGCTAACAAGCAAATTTTAGAGGACATTTATTCAGGGAAGCAACTTGGGCTCTGTACTATCAGCACGACAATGAATGAATAAATGCAGAGAAATCTTTTCAAAGACCTGGTGATCTGGTCAAAGTGAGAGCTGTGATGATCCCCTGTTGCACTGTTAGTTTAGTTTGGTTTTATCAGTCCATCCCTGTGTTGTGGTAAATCCACAACAGCCTGGGACAACAGTAAAGAGTCAGGATTGTCTTTTAAGGAGTACTGACATGCCAAACTGGAGAAAAAAAAAGAACTGGGAAAAAAAATGAGAAAAAAGAGACCTGGAATCCCACGGACGCCAGACTGTTTCTATTTCTGTTCCGGATCGCTCTGTTTTGGCATGACAGCCGCTCGCTGGCGAGTCTTTGTGCAGGCTGTTGCTGCTTAGTCAACCTGTCTTTGTCTGCCAAACAGCATGGACGGCTAATTTGAGGCTGTATAGTAGACTACAGATTGGAGAGTCGCATATTCAGAATCATGTCTGCCAGTTGTCAAATGTGGAGAGACTTAATAAGCACCCAAGCACATTTAAAGTAAGAAATTAGAAAAATACTGCAGCAAACAAAACCTAAAATGTCTTATTATTAACATTAATTAAATAAATTAAAAACATTGAAATTGCATGCACGTTCTACAGCCGTAGGACAGGAAGCACTGCATGGGATACATATCCTGAGCGTTATAATACTCCAGCAGAAATTTAATGGATGCAATATGCTTTATTTATCTATTTCATTACTTCTCTCCAGGTTAGCTCTCTGTGCCTAGCTCACTGTGTGTTTGGTTGTTTTAAAAGCATCAGCTGACATGGCAGTGTCTAGATAATGACTGGCTTTTTAGTTTTGGGTGAACTACTCCTTTAACTTGGCCCTTTTGGGCATCATAGTAGCACAGTGCAAAAGCATATTGTGGTTTAGATTAAAAAAGAAAAGAAAAAAAAGCCCTGTACATCCACTTTGCTGACATTGAAATGCCTCGTAATAAGATGCTGTCTTTCAGAAATGTTTTTTATTTTTCAGATTACAGACATTGTTTGCTGATGCTGGCAGGTTCCTCATAGTTGCTCTTTTGTCAACAGGGGGCAGTGTAAGTCTGACAGAGGTTCTGTCAGACTTCTGGTCCAGACTGGTGGAGCGGGTCTTCTCACTCGTCAACCCCCAGTATCAGTTCAGTGAGGATTACCTGGAGTGTGTCAGCAAACACGCCGAACAGCTGCAGCCATTTGGAGATGTGCCCCGCAAACTACGCGTACAAGTGTGTGCCTTGTGATAAAACAATACAGCGCTGACATGGACACTTTGAGAAAACCCATGGCTTCAGTATAACTATCCAGTATAGCTATACTTCCAGTTATGAAGAATGAGAGAGCACATTGAGCTGTGATGATCTTATTCTGTTCTCTTTGGTTTCACATTCAGGTTTCCAGGGCTTTCATTGCTGCCAGAGCACTGTCTCAGGGCTTGGCTACTGGTCGGGATATTGTTAACAAAGCAACAAAGGTGACTGGTTCTTATTGCTAGTTGTATTCTATTCTCTATTCTTAGTATCTGCTTTTTTCAGCACTTTATTTGAGCTACATCATACTCATATGAAGTAATATATTTAATCCAGGATGTCATTTTTATGTAAATTAAACATACAATTCCTGTTTCCTGAATCTAAAAAGATGCTGCAGTAGAGAAGAGTTTCTCTAATATTAATGACATAGGCCTGGCACTTTTCAAAATAAAGGCACAGTTGAGATCCTGTAGCTAACCAGTTTGTTCAAATTAAAATATCTGGATAATTTCAACTTGATCCCTGAGAGCAAAAAACCAACATCTTGGCAATGAGTATGCACTTTGTCCAGAGAAAGCTGGAATGAAAGTGCTTGTTTTCCAAGCTAACAGCGGTTTGTGGAGCTGCCGACATAACATATAAAGTTCCCTTAGACAGTAATACTAATGGTAATATTGTGCCCTCTTATTAATTCTTTCTGCCACAACTCCCACTGCTTTGTTTTTTCAGTTGACTGCAGATTCAGAGTGTGTGCGTGGCCTGATGCGTCAGTGGTACTGCCCACTGTGTCGAGGCATGCCCTCCCTGCGGCCCTGCCACTCCCTGTGCCTTAACGTGATGAAGGGCTGCTTAGCCAATCAGGCTGACCTGGACACCGAATGGAACAATTTCATTGGTGGGTGAGGGTAGGATGAACAATACATCCTAATAGGTTTTAAAGTGGGTTTAGGGTCAGGTGAAAGACATATTTTTTTGGATTAGGTATAATATGTACTTCAGCTAAAGCACCCATGTTTCAAAGTGCTACAATAACTTTGCTTTCAATGATTTTAGATCCTTAAGAAAAAAGATGTTATGACCTAAATGACATTTAACTACACTTTGAATTATTATCATTATTAGATTGAGCATACCTAAAAGTAGAATCCTTTTATTGCTCTTCTGTCACTCATTTACTTTTGACTTCCTTTTCCCCTAATGAATTCCTCCTCCATTAATCATTCATGCTTCTCTGCTCCTTCTCAATTGATCTGTCTTCCTGTGTTTCCTTTCCCCTTTCATCAAACCCACACATTCCCTGCATTTTCTTTCTTTTTATGTGTAGTGCTTCCTCCCACCTTTCATCACTCCATCCATGTCTGCTGCACTCAAGCCCATTTTACCCTCATGTACCCTTTTCTCCAACCACCATTCCTTTCTCCTTTTCTCTGCATAAAATGTTGGCTTGCTTCCTGATCTCCCTGAACGCCCCATAAACAGATGTTAATCAAATCTCTTCAGCTGGTTAGCCATTGAGAGATTCCAGACACAGGGAGCCATTGTCTTGATGTTTATCAAGGTCTACAATTTGCCACCAACAGAGTTTTTTTTTTTTTTTTTTTTGCTTGTATAACCCTGACAGTGAATATTTGGATGAATGTGGTCATAGCAGGGTTCATCACTTTACCATCTCTATTTCCGTCTCTTCCTCTCTCCTCTATCAGATGCTCTGTACCAGGTTTCAGAGAAGTTGGAGGGACCATTCAACATGGAGCTTGCAGCTGACTCCATCTCCGTGAAAGTGTCGGAGGCCATCATGCACATGCAGGAAAACAGTGTCACCATCTCCACTAAGGTAAGAACGAGAGCATAAGCACAAGCAGATGAAAATTGCTTTCTCCGAATTTTCATTTTGGCTGTTCTTCAGCGGAAATATATATTCAATAATAATTCACTGAACCTTTTGTGCCTGCATAAAAATCATCATCCAGCATTTTCAAAATATCACTCTTACAAGTCACAGCTATATTGCTTATTGTTTAATTCTGATTTTAATCTTCTTAATGAGAGAACATGCAGTAAAAATGACAGGAATTATACCCGAAGAGCATGACAGCCTGACAATATGATTAAAACATGGCAGGCATCCCAGGAGCTAATCCACCAGAGAGACACCCACATCTCGATGGAAACAGAGAAGCTCCTGGTTTGTGGTAACAGCGCTTTAAGGAACAGGCATCTCTCGCTTTTACAGCTCAGCATTCTGCGTTTGCTGTTTTTCATTAACAGAGCATAATTGTGGAGGCTATGGAGAACCTTTTTCATATATATTGCTTGTTTCAGTTCACATTAATTTATTTCTAAGTGTAGACACTGACTACACAGAGCTCATCTCTCAGCTTTCATTTACCACCATAACTCTAACATTACTTAAAAACAGCTACTGATGACGAGCTTTACATTTTTAGGCCTTTTTTGTTGTTTGGTCGGGTGTTGTTAAAGGACTTCTGTGAGAAAAGTTAAGATAACACTAATTATCACTGTAGGAACATCTGAGGGTGGGTATTTCATTATATTGGCAAATCTTTTGATAAGGTTATGTTAGACTGTAAAGATGCTGTTGTGACGCGGCTGTTGACAGTGATGTTGCTTTGTTGTTCCTTACCTCAGGTGTTCCAGGGCTGTGGAAGCCCCAGGCCTGCTCCAGGTCGGTCTAAACGCTCACCGAAAGAGTCGGGGGGAAACAGGAGGCCTTTCCGCACCTACAGCCCTGAAGAGAAACCCACCACTGCTGCAGGCACCAACCTGGACCGACTGGTGAGGAAGAAACATGCCCTATTATAGTCAATTAAGAACAGATTAAACCTGCAATAACCATAATTGTTTATTGGCATAACAAGATATAAACATTTATAAAGTTGTTTTGATGAGCTTGTTCGCAAAAAGTTAACTATTTGCACATCCAGTTGATACAGAGCAACGTTAGCATTCATTTTAAAGTCGTGTCTCTGGCACTGTGGCAAAGTTAAGTTCAATATTCACTTTTTTCTACCTCAGTTTTGGTCTCCACTAACTCCAGTTCAGCAGCTACAATGAGTTCAGAAAATATTCACACCCCTTCACTTTGTTGCTGTAAGCTGTGATTACAAACTTCTGAATTAAGGGTCTGAATACTTTTGTAAATGAGAGAATTCAGTTAAATACATTTGAAAGAATTTCTAAAAACATGTTTATGATGTAGATTTAATTTTAAATGTATAAAATTGACATTTTTGCGCATCAATCTACACTCAATAACCCATAATGACAAAGTGTGCAGTATGTCTCAGTACTTTCTGATGTAAATGAGCTACAATTCGTTTATCAGAGCGTATTTGTCTTTGTCTTCTGTGTCTGGAAACAATGTTGATGAGAGCAGTGAGAGTGAACCAAAACATTAAAGCACTGGCAAGAAAACCAAAACAACAGGCTGAAAGACGCTTCAAGCCTCTGCAAAGCTGAGGGAAAACTGCAGTCGGGTGATAATTATCTGTTTGGTTTGTCACTACACACAATTATGTGTGGGTTTGTCTTTTGGCAGATGGTAATTTCAGCCGCTCTTTATAAGACAAAATACTGACCAGTGCAGCTTTAAGTACTCAAATATTCACCTTTTTGGGTTGCGTGTGATTTAACTATATTAATGTTGAAACTGTAATCAAGAATGTCATATATGTTTTTATTGTGCTTGTATCAGGATTCAGTCATAGCAACTGAGCAGAAAGCGGAAAGCGGACAAAATGAGGGAGTAAAATAAGCTTGGTACAAGAAGCTAATAATACAGAGCGGTCAGAGCCCAGACAGTATTCCTGTGACCACAGAGTGATCTGGCAAGACAGAAGCGCTGGACTATAAATAAAACCAAGAGCAGAGGAGAGAGGAAAGGGACAGCAGTTATTTACTGTATATCAATTTATAAGACATAAAAGGCATGTGGTTTAAGAACTGACCCAGAAGCAGTGTCATGTCCGTTTTTTGACTTTGTCCAACGTCAGCACTGCAACTCCCATATGCTTTCTCCAGTCAGACATACCAAACAAGGATACTTTAAAACCAGGTCTGACTCATAACCAGTTCCTTCCCGCCTCCGCACAGGTTACTGAGCTAAAGGAACGACTGCGGCCTATGCGGGGCTTCTGGGTGTCCCTCCCACACACCATCTGCAACGATGAGAAGATGGCTGCCGACGTCACTAATGAGGACCGCTGCTGGAATGGGCAGACCCGGGGGAGGTGAGCAAGATCAGAGCGGAGGAATGGAGGGAGGGGATAGGTAGAGGCGGGGGAGGAGTGAGCGAGTGATGGTACAGAGGTGGCAGGATGCAACAGATGGAGTTTGAGTTTGTTTAATTTTGCCACCACCAGTCACCCACATACTCTCTATGTGGGTCTGCTTGCTTTTATGTACACAGATATAGACCAACAGCATGTATCCAGGCTGATTTAAAGAGACTGTGTAGTCCTGTGTGTGTGTGTGTGTGTGCGTGTGTGTGTTGTGAGAGAGGTACACAGGTAGGAAAAACAAGTCTGCATAATGGATGATTTTGTGTCTATGATGTTCCAGCTGTTAGGCAACAGTTTTATGTAAAAGTACACCCACCTTGGAAGCTTCAATCACAAAGTGGGACTGTAGCCAGACTGGAATAGGTAGAGCAGCTGGTATAAAATGTTTTACTACGATAATTAGCTTGTGGGAATAGAGTACATCTTATTATATATATCAATGGTAAAAATATAATTTTGCCATTCTGGTATATAGTTTTAAGAAGATCTGGTGCAGTTTATCAGTCAAAATGTTCCCATTTTAAAATCACCAGCGAGCCCTCCGTCCAACAAAGAACCCCAAAAACAAACGCTAAAAAGCTACTAATTCAAAAACAAGCCAAAGTGCCTGCAGCCATGCTAGCAACTTAACGAAGCTGTGCTGATGCTGAGCTTAATGTTAACCAGTGGTGGACAAGGTACTTGAAAACTGTAGTTTCAATTTCACACATGCAAAAATCAAACATAAGATATTGCAGTTGAACAAGCAGGTGCTCCTACAGTTTGGAGGGATTTACTAACCATTCAGCAGCAAGTTTTTTTTTTTTTTCTCAGCCATTTTTGGGCTTTATTGTGACAGGGACAGTGAGAGAGAGAGAGACAGGAAAGTTAAGGAAGAGAGAGGGGGGTTGACATGCAGCGAAGGGCCTGAAATGGATTTTAAACTAAGCTAAGTCAAGGATGTCTACATTGCAAAGATGCCTTGCACTGCTTTGAAAAGATGTGTGTTCATGGTCGTCCAGTTTTCTGTTTTTGTACATGAATGCCTGTTTGTGTACACACTCAGGTACCTCCCGGACGTGACAGGTGATGGGCTGGTCAGCCAGATCAACAACCCTGAGGTAGAGGTGGATATTGCCAGGCCGGATGTAAGGACCAGACAGCTGATCATGGAGCTGAGGGTGGTGACCAACAAACTGAGACATGCTCAGAGCGGACAAGACATGGACTTCATGGACAGTAAGTGTTCCTGACGGTCAATATTTCTCTATCTGTGTGTCTGTATATCTTATGAGGAGTATTAGTTAGTCCTTGGTTTTTCTCAGTATGTATTGGTGATTATGAAGATCTGGAACAACATCAGTAAAATTTAAACCCTTGATTTGGATTGTAAATTTAGCACTTTCTTTTTATTTCCACGCTGCACATCAGTCAGAAATTACTTTTCCCTTGTTCCAGGTGAGGAGGGCAGTGGCTCAGGGGGTGGAGATCATGGTGAAAGGTACAATGATGATTGGCCAGGCTATGGGCCTTACTCTCCCCCATACAAACCCCCTCGTAACCCGGTCTCCAACCCCGCAAAGCCTCCTCGAGTCCGAGACAGAAACGGGTCCAAGTGGAACAGAAACAACGGCCATGGACGGGTTCGATCTGCATCCAGTGGGCTTACCTTCTCCCTGGTTTCTTTGTTGTCTTTGCCTTTCATGGTCACTGTTGCCCCCATGTGGAGATAGCTGGTTATTACAGTCTGGTAGTGGAGGTTTTCTGTCTTGCTCAAGTCTTAAGCACATTATGAAGAAAAACAAAGTCATTCCATTTGGTTACACCAGCAGAAACAAAATGACAAAACAGGCTAATTTAGCAATAATCAGAAATCTGTTTACAGCACAAAACAAATTAAGTGAATATTTTTCCTACTGTACAAGCCTCAAAAGAGGCATTACCAGACATTGATGACAACTAACAATATTTAATTAATGGGTACTGCCCTTTTTTAGTGCCATTTGTGAGATGTATTGGAATCTTGACGCTGGAGCACCTTCGAGAAAGGGGAACAAAAGTGCTGCAGCAGAAAAAGAATTAGCAACATGTTTGGGTGATGGAGCTGATGGTCTCATGGTTTGGTGCTCTGTGAGATGGAGATTAGTTGTGCCAGTTAATTACTGTGTAGTTTCGGTGAGCAGCTGATATGATCTGAGTGCATTTATTTGCTGCCATTCTCATGAAATTAGGTTGATTAATGTAATTGATTTGATTTCAGTCATGGGTGTGGTTCATTTAGTTCATTTTTTTTAATCTTGTGGAAGTCGTGAGATGTAATTTAATCGCTTAATTGAACCTCCTATTTTGGCTTAGGAATTTAAAAAAGTCACGGATGACTCTTGAAACCAAACAAGGGGCTTATTTTGAATGTACCTAAAAGCTCAAATTAATTTGGGTTGCTTGTGATGACAAGGGGTTAATTAATGTAATATATTGGTGTTTTTAATTTATTTGTAATATTATATTTCATTTTTCTCATTATTATGATTTTTAAGGCAAAGGGTTGGATGTTTTTATCTTTGAAAAGATTGTTGTCTTTAACTTCCTCTGGTGAAAAAGAAAAAAGGAAAATCCAGCTCTATTTGATCAATCACAACTAGACACTTAATTATCATATGAAATTTGGCCACAAGACCAGCTATCATTTTTTTAATCTTAACCAGAGATTGTTGAGGAGCAACATGTGTGAATGTGTGTGTGTGTGTGTGTTTGTATGGTGGTTTTATATTGTTTTTTGTTATATGTCCTTGTTTCAATTTTCTAGTTCTGAGGTTATGCTGAGAAGATATTGGGATGTTTCATAGTGTGCTTTTTTACTTATTTTTCCTAAAAGCAACAAAAGATGATGAAAACACTGAGTGAGCTGTTGATGTGACGCAAAATTAGACTGAATGTTGACGGAAAGACAAATGCTGTCAAGGTGTGTGGCTTCTAATTTTCATATGCTGAATGTGTTTTGTCAAAGATAAAATCAAAGATTTTTCATGAAGATAAAAAAATTTGTTGGTGAAGAGTTGGTCATCGATGTACAGAAACAAACATGAGGGTGAGCTTGAAGTAATAGTTCGACATTTTGGGAAATACTCTTATTAGCTTTCTTGCCGAGAGTTAGATGAGAAGATCCACTCTCATGTCTGTATGCCAAACATGAAGCTACTGCCAGCAGCTGGTTAGCTTAGCTTAGCACAAAGGCTGCAGATGGGGAAATCTGCCTACCAGTACCTTTTTTTTTTTTTAGTTTACAAACATATCTCGTTTATCTCATTTCATACATACAAAAAGTGTAAAAACCACAAATTGTGTTTTTATAGCAGTTTGTGCACCAGTCTTTCCTGGTTTGGAGCAACCAGCTAGCCCAGCACATAACCCCTGTAAAATTGAGAAATTCTGTTTTTAGTTTATGCTTTTATTTTTTTAAGTGTGTGTTATGCAAACAGGGTACAATGTGTTAAGTAATTAGTGAGCTTTTGAAGTGCTAGTAGGCAGATTTTGTTACATTTTCTGTTTTTCTGCTGCATTTCCAGTCTTTGTGCTAAGCTAAGCTAGCTAGCTGCACTTCCAACTTTAGTTTTTAAAAAAAAAGAAAAGCAAACAAGGTTATTTCTCAAAATGTAAAACAATTTTAAATATGAAATTCAATTGATAGGATCCCAAAAGCGAACAGAGATGGAGAATATAAAAAGAATGTATCGATGCTGTAAAAGGACACTTTTCTGTTGAGTGAGGAAATTGTGAAATCCAGTTGGTTGTAACAGAAGTTCACTTGTAGTCAAATGGGCTATAGCACCTGTACAAATGCAAAAAATAGCAAGAGAAGGGTTTCATTCTAAAACATATCCATTTCGGTCAAAAATATGAGCTTTTCATCACTCATTATATGACAAAGATGATCCCATCCTCTAAAATGTCACTCCTCTGTAAATAATAGGTGAAATATTACTATTGACAAGCGATCAAAGGTGGATGTCTTATTTTGGAATGAAACTCTTTCAAGACAGTAGCGACCACGTACAAGACTTCACCACAAACACAGTATTATGTTGCACAACTACAAATGAAAAAAAGTGTTTCACAGTATTTCAAAAGCAACAGTATTTTAATTGTATGTGCTTTCGATGATCAGCAGTCAGATAAGGACGTGGTGGCTGCAATATTTCCATTCAATTTCAGGTAAATTGTTCTTTAGTTTTACCTCTCATCCATTCCCACTACTCGCACATTCTTTCATGGTGAAAGTATAACACAACTTTTTTTCATGTTGTCGTAACAATTTTTTGGTATCAAACAAGTGATATTTTCTGCTTCATTAAAAAAAACTGAAGAAAAATATGTTGATGTTTTTCTCTCCCCTTTTATTTTCATTTTATTTTGTTCTTACAAAATCAGCCAAAAACGTGCAGTCATTTAAAAAAAAGTATCCATATTTCAGTTGTACCTTTACGATGAGTTAATTGCAGTTACAGTAATTTTTTTTTTTTTTTTTTTTTAAGTTCTGCATCAAGCATGTCCCTGCAAATCACTTATGATCATGTAATTCTGCAGTAGTAGTAGATAGAGAATATCAACTTCTTGTGATCATGACAAGTGTCTCATACCACTGAAGCATCAGGACGCTCTGTGTCTCCTTTTAGCCTTTTAGAGGAGCAGTCTCTGGATCTTTATTGTATGAGGGCTTCTTGTTATGTGCGAGACAGTTGATACATTCATGCTGACAAGGATAGAAAATAAAGGATAATCAGTACATGTGCTGTGGCATGGGGCGTGCTCTCATAACTCACAGAACATCATATGTCTTTTATACAATAACGTATAGTATACAAAATCTGTATTTCTACTTAAAGCTGTTAAGTTCATGAAAAATGACAATATTTAAAGGGGCTATTTGTAAGATACAAGATGCTTTCCACCGCAGCTCTTGGTGAGTAAAGGAATGAAGTTTGGTGCTGAAGTTACAACATTTCTTCTAGACTGATAAGTATAACTGATAATGATATACTGATAAGCTATGTACGCTATGTAGCAATAGCAAAAGTTACAAATAGCTGGAGTAGCACTAATATTTTGCCAGTTATTCTTGCACAGTTGGTTTACCAGAATTTTAAATAAACAAACAAAAAAAAAATATTACAGATTAATTTAATTTATTACCTTCCACATTAAGTAGCCAAAAACCGCCAACAATAGGAGCAAAACAACGACTGTTAAGAAGATTATCCACCAGGCAACTTTGGTGAAGTATTCAGCCTTTTTCTCAAAAAACACTGTCAGTTTTACCTGTGGACAGCAATGTCATTTTAGTGTGGGAATCTCAAAACACAGTAACAAGTTAACATTAAGCAAACTATAAATTACCAATATAACTTAAGATACAAAGATTTCAGGTTGTAGATTGCAGGATTACAAGATCGTGTGTTTTTCCCATTGGTTACATAAATGTGAATGAAATTAACATCACCCTGCAAATTTAAATCATTGTCTAAGCCCAGAGGGGAGATAAAATGTGTAAAAACAAAAATCTGCCAAAGTAATTCAGCAAATTGTTTTATCACTCATGTTTTTACCTTTGTCTCAGGCTTCTCCGGTTTAAGTCCAATATTCTCTGGAGAGTTGTTTAAACTGAGGGTGGCATCCACAACAATGTCAAGATAATTCAAAGAGCTGTAATCCTAAATGGGAGAGGCATAATAAATGAGTGAGTAGTCTCATGCTTTATACTTCTGATTAATGATAGGAAGGCTTCAGCCAACAAAGTAAGCCACAAAAAACTAAAGGTCGCTTGGAATATTTGTTGGAAACAAGATCCTAAAGCAACTAAACTGAGGCTTTTTCATCACTGTTATCTGTCAGAGCTGATGCATTTCATACATACGGGAGGAGTTATTTTGTAGAAATTGTGTAACCTCAGTAAAAGTGGTGTTCCAGAGTTGTGAATGCAGAACCATCACTGTAGTACTGTCCAGACCAAGCAGAGGGCAGCGTATCTCCACACACTTTAGTCCATCTGAGCAGGTCTGAGGAGGACAGCAACAGGCCTGGGATTACACTCGACATCTGACAAATTCACAAATAACTAGATGCTGATGTCTTCTTGACTCCTAACTCTCTTGACCTGCCCTTTCCTCTGACCAGACCCTTGAACGGCTAAGTTTTTAACCATGCTAGTGACATGGCTCTAGAGATGGAATTGTTGATCTCAAAATGAACACAGACATTCAAATCCCCCAGAGAATAAAGTTGTAGTTTCTGTGTGGATCTAATAATTCCTTACCAAGGTTTTGTATTTCCTACTTGTTGGAAGAAATGAAAGAAACCCGTCAGTAGAGAGGGCTTCATATTCAGCTTCACGTCTTTTCCTCGAGGGATCATGCCAACCCTTGATATCAAACATTACCAAGTTACAGGGGTGGTTTACAGGCATTCCTTACGTTTTCAACAATAAAACAAAATGTAGAGAGGAATTTATTACCTTCACATGTTTAAGTGGATTGATTTCGTTTACAGGCGAGCAGGAGACAGACTGTACGCCTTCACTGGTGATCTGAGTCAGGTACAGAAGCCATTTTCCTACAACGTTCTCTTTTGGCCAGTAGATGTTTAGTGAAGCATTGGCGAAAGATTTGAGTGGTCTGCCCAAATTCATTATCTGAAAAATAGAAACTAAACGGTGTCCTTGAACGTGTTTGTGTGAAAATTTTTTTTTAATTTAAGGTAGCAACATATGGCGTCTCACCCTAAATTCATATCGAACTGGGGTTCCAATTTCATCCACTGATTTTATGGCACTTTCACCAATCAAGGTTTTGCCAAGTGACACTTGGGATGGCCTGGCTAGTCTAAAAACAAACAAACAAAAACAGACCATCATATACTATATTTGACATATTCATTGATCAGTCCAAGGCATTTAATACAATCACTACCAACCCATATACTTGCAGCTCCAGCTCAAAAACCACTTTGGCTAATGCCTCGACTGGTTGTATGGTCTGCACACTTGTCCTATATGAAATAAATAACAAAACCTGTTTATTCATAATCATGTTCAGCCCACTCATCAATAACTGGTGCCAGATTTTCTCTCCAATCTCCTCAGTCCACTCACGTCTCAAGTTGCATGGTGACGTTGATGTCTTTTGTACTCAGGGAAATGCTGGACGTTGTGAGTATGACATAAAACGTAACCTGAGGGCAACAAAAGAGTCATCAGGCAGAACATGCAGGTTGGTAATCCACACGTAGAGTAAACTGAACTATACTACTCACTTCAGCATCTCTTTGGAGTGGGTTTCCCAGTTCACAGTCTACTACTGTTCCTTTGGCATTGGCTGTACATTTCACTTGTGTTTCCTATAGATAAAAATATACATTTGGCATATGCACATAAACCAAAGGTATATACAGTATACAAATAAAAAACAAATTAATTTGACTGTACTGGAATAAAAACAGAAAATGTTTAGGTCATCCAGACGAAGACGTGCTGTATTCTTGATACACAGTACACACCATATACTCATTGTTTTCTTTATGAAAAATGAAAAAAAATTTATTTAACATAATTCAATTTATCTTGTCTTTTTGAGAATTGTTTCTACAAGCTTTTAGTTTCCTCTTTCTCCTACACAAGTTTTACTTTACTTTAAATTCATGTGTATCTGAGTTGCATGAAAAAGTGTACATGTTGGTAAAAGTGTGTTTGTATTTGTGTGAATGACTTTGAGTGTATATATCAAATCTTTTATAATAATTATAGTCTTCTGTGCAAACATATAAAAAATAAGCTCTTCTGTCATTGGCTGATATTTCATAGTAACCACACTAGTCAATGTTTTTGCTCATTTTTCTTCCACTACAAAGTCATTGTATACTCACTGCTGCTGTACCGTAAACAATAGAGGAGTAATGAAGAGAATCTGGGAGCAAGATGATTGAGTGACTCTGGTGTGCGTCATCACCGTTTCTGTTAGTCACGGTGACCTCTAAGGCTATGTCTTCATCAGAGGGAGTGATGACTGCTACACCATCCTCTCTAGAGACATGACATAACCCAGGATGAGAATAGATTTTGAGTTTAGCTTTCAATCACACGAATTGTTTTTGAGTTTGGTTACTTTTGGTTTACCTTGTTTGTCTTACCTGGATAGTGACTTGAAAACATCTTGATCATTTTGTGTTTTTCTGGAACAGAACTTGTATTGTAACTCTAGGTTACTTTGGCAAATGTTGTCGCTGCCACAGCCCTTGTTTATTAGGACGATCTGTGAAAAACAACAGAGGAGGAATTGCTTATTAAAACTTAGCTCAGCCTGGTCTCCCAAACAAATTGACACATTTCTGAAGTGTTAAAATTAAATTCACAAAACTTTGGTGACAAACACTAACAGATGGGCACACACATTCGTACCTCTGAGACATTGCTCTTCTTCTGGTAGAGGTTGAGGACAGGAGTTATGTTGGACAGATATGCACTCGTCCTGGTTGTCTGACTGGGACTCCACAGGGATACTGACACAGACACGGGGATTCTGTGCAGCCTGTCCATGATATCACGCTGAAACGTAAGAGTTTTACTTTGGTTTAATGTGTGCTGTCTGGTGTTTAACGAGAGGCCCATAATTAAATTTTTTTGTTTTTTAATACCTTTATTTTTTTCTTAATAAAATTGTAATTTTTAAACGTTTCACCAAGTGCTACACATATTCAGAACCAGCATATCCTCAGTTAATAATAAATGCCACTCAATAAAGACTTCAGTACAGTATAATAGAGGTTAATTGCCCATATAAAAAAAACAGACCTTGAATTTTTTCTTATTTTATAGATAAAAACACTGTAAACCATAATAAAGAAGAAAAAAATCAACAAGTTCAATCAAGTTTCTATCTTTATCTGTTCATGAGATATACTCATTTTCTGGAGCAGTATAGCGTTTTGTGGCTGCTCTTTGAACAATCAGCTCCAAAGCCTCTGCTGCTCTAAATATCTGACTGGTCACATCCTTCTGTCTTTATTCTGTTACTTCAATAAACTGATCAACCTCTGCTCCCTTTGAGCTCAGAGTAAAACAGCACTACTCCCACGTCATCTGGATATACAGCCAAGGTAGGCCAAGCCTCTGAGACGCTGATTGGCTGTGACGTCACCCACTGGAGCCATTAGGAATGTCTGATTCAGTCACGTTACTCTAGACGTCACTGGCAAAGAATGCGGAAGAGAATCGATCAATTAAACACAGACAGAAAGCAGCAATGCGCCAGAAAAACGGTAAAACTGATCCAAATATTTCATAACTTTTAATGTTAGCATATCGATTGAAGTCAGTGACGCTCGCGGACAAACAGGGGCTTGACAGAAAGCGCTGATCGTCTAGTTTAAGTAGAAAAAAACCGGCACGTCTGTAGCTAAAAACGGTCGTGGAGCAGTGACTCTACAGACAACGTGAAATTTGGAAGCGTATACGCTCCCACGGGCCTAAGGGGGTTAAAGGACAATTGGCCATCTACACACTTTTTGTTGGACATAGTAGGGGAAACACAGGTGTTACCAATAACATTAAGAATGGCTATGTTCTATTCAAATGTCCCAATAAGTCATGACGTGTAACAGTGAGACAGCATGCACAATACCAGGACCCTGAAACTGATGCTAAATTAATTCCTTTCACTATTTACACCTGTTATTATTTCTTCTTTACTGTGACATGTCAAAATGTGTTGTGTGAAAAAAGCCAATGAGACAGTACCAGAAGTCGTAGCTCGGTGTCAGTGCAGATTGTTGTCCCCTGTCGTGCCAGCTCCAGTTTTCCTCGAGACGAACCCAGAAAGTCGACTCTGGGAGGAAGCCTCGCTTTCCTCTTCTCAGCATCAACCTCAAAGGTGTAGTTGAGCACTACAGTGGAAACATTTGAGATATTGATACTAAATTCACTGTTGCAACTACTACATCTACATTACTACACCATTGCTACTACTGCTACTAACTTGTACCCGCTGTTACTACTACTACAGTTACTGCCACTAAAACAACTACTTCCAAAATGATAAAGTTAAGTAAAGCAAGTAAAATTTGATGTATTTCTAAATTCTAAATTTCAGTTCAACTTTGAAAAACCTGAGCTTGAGTGTGACTGATTATCTTTTTTATAGATAGTCCTGTCTGGCATCAGCTTTGAAAACGTGTATGTTACATTGACATTAAATGCTACAAAATACAGGTGAACAACCTTAGATTCAACATGAAGAGTACTGAACTGACATTAAGGAGACTCACTCAGTTTGGGGTTGAACGATGCTGGATGTGCTGTGTAGGTAAAACACGCCTGAACTGCAAAATAACTTCACAGAAATTTGTACAAAGAAACCCTGGATCAAAAGCCAATAAGCCTGCAGTTAGATGATGTTATCATTTGTGTTGTAGTACATTTTACCATGTGTGTTTATCACACTGTTCCTTTGTGATGTCTATTTCACTTGGTGTCACCTGTAGAGAGTGGCTGACAGTGACCACTGGCCTTGCTCTGTAACAAAGGCAACAAAAATGACAGGTTATAGCTCTTGATTGAAACAGGCACCCGCTGGAAAAAACATTGTAAAGTGTTTGTGCTGTAGCTTTAAAATTACCTGTAAACAAAAACAGAATCTGAGAGAGATCCCACAGCCAAATCAGGGTACTGATTGCCGTCCACATCCAAGTTGCCAGACAGAGAATATCCAAAGAGATTAATTTTATTGGATCCTGATGAGAGTACCTGAAAGTAAGTCAAAATATGAGAATGTAATATCAAGGTCTGTTCTTGCTGTCAACCTATGTCAAACAATTTGAAAAGGTGTCCTTTCATAACTAATCCGACGACCTTACCTGTGCTGGCTTTTTGTGGATACCGTCTAATGAGCCACAGTAGAGATATACCTGACCTGAACCATCATATGGTGCCCCCACAGCAATATCTGTCATAAATTAGAGTTGAGTAGTTTATCAGTGATCCCAAAATGTCCTTAAAGTCTCGATACATAGCGTGTGTGTGTTCTGAGAAGAAAGGAGGCTTCCTTCCTTCCTATAAATCAAATCATAAGCAATAAAATGCTCAATTGTACATCGCAGTACACTCACAAGTTTTGCTACTACAGCCTTACTTAGTATGGTATGACCAGTAGCGTATTGTATCAACTGTTAGCAAACTTTAAATGAATAATGCTTTATAACTCACTGCTTGTGCTACTGTTGTGTTTAGTTTTTACTATTGTCTTGTAGTTGCCACTTGTGTCACAGAGGTTGATGTTCAGTAAAAGTTACTTCAGGCCCTTTCCATCACTCAAAAAACCTGATAAGACCCGCTAACATCGGGGCTTTTGGCAGTAATGGAAAAGGTTGCAATCAGCATTCACACCCGGAGCTAATGACTCTGCAGTAGAAGCAAGTATTTATCGGCTCCGGCTCTGAACGGCATTGATGTAAACACAACACCCGGATGAACTCGCTAATTTTCACCCCTTTTCCTGCTGTAATGTCTCTCAGCTCACATAGACACTGTGGACATGCTTGTCACCTGCCCAGCATGTTGCTGTTAAACCAGAAACACTGCGGTTACACTGTGCTTTGAGATGAAAGAGTGAGCTGCAGCCCTAAAATTAGTTTTAAATATCTGTTTTATCACTGTTTCTCCACTGAGTGTGGGTGTGTGCTCTGTAAGTGCATGTGATGACATCAATTGGCTTTTATTAGCGGATTTACCTTTATATAAACACTTTTATACCTGCTAATTTTGGTGGCAAAAGGGTAATAGTCTCACTTTAAAGAACCAGTGTGTAGAATTCAGGGGAATCTATTGGCAGAACTAGAAATACTCTTAATTGTGTTTTCATTAGTGTATAATCACGTGGCACTAAGAACAGGTGTGTTTCTGTTAGCCTAGAATCAGCCCTCATATCACTCGCTCGGAAAGGGAGGGGTGTGAGGACAGGGATTCAGTTGGTTTCAACCTCAACACTAGATGTCACCAAATCCTACACACTGGTCCTTTTAAAGCGTCTCATAGAAAAAGTGAAAATTTTGTGTTTGAATTCAAAATGTGAATATTCTGACTTCCTAGTTGTTGTGCATAGTCAGTGTATGATGTATTTGATATAAAAATGTCACAACCTCCATAACCGTCTTGATTGATATCTCCTATGTTTTCCACTGCAAGGCCGAACATGGAGTCTTTATGTCCAAGGAGCTGTGTTGGAACAATATCCTCCCAGTTCTTTCCTTTGTTGTTGATATAGATGTAGACGGCTCCTCCAACCAAACCATCTTTGACAAAGAACTCTGGTGCTCCTACAGCAAGGTCCTCCCATCTGCACATACCAAGAGAATAACACAGTAACACAACAGCACACAATGGAAACAGGGAGCCATGTTTGTTTTGGCAGAATACTTGAGTAATGATATGAATTGCTTACTAAAGATTCTGTGATGTAAATTGTGTGACTGTGTGCACAATTCCCAATGCCAGCATGATGTAGAATGGCACTCAGTAGAGCGCATACCTCTGCCAAAGCCAAACATTTTCCTCCAACAGATCTGGATTATTTTGTGGATCTGCACCAAACTGTAAAAACTCAAAGATGTGAACATCATAAATCTTTCTGATTTGTTACATCCAGATCCATATATTAGTTCCTGAGAAATTGATGAAAATGTTGAAAAATGTCTATCTTGCAATGTTAAGGAAACTGATAAAAAAAAATTCCTGCATCCACCACTTTAACTCGATTGGCAGCAAAATTTAATGGGTTCTTGCCCCATGCCTCCACTAGGTTTGGTTCAGTACTTTTTATGTAATTCTGCTGACAAACGAACATGGGTGAAAACATAACATACGGACTGTTTGGCCTTGACGGAGGTATGAGTTCTAGGGTGCCAGAGGGAACAGAAGGAAAGGTCATTGCATGTATTACAAACTGGCTAATAGATGTTTGGGGTAAAAACTTCACATGTTGTGTGGAATGTGGTGCTAGAACAAAGCTCATGGAATGTCTAAAATAGAAAGTGTAGAGTATGTCATTCAGAGGACATGAATGTGGGCAGCAAGTTTTCATGGTAATCTGCCCATTAGATTTGTGTGTGTGCAAATGAAAATAAATTGCCAAGTTATATGGAAGGTCATCCATTATGATTGATAGATAGATAGATAGATAGATAGATCGATACTTCATTTACCTATTAATTATGTTAAAGACCATTATACTGCAGCAAGTTTTATGATGGTGATGCTGGTGCTTATAAAAGGCCATGGAGCCAAAAAAACATGAAGAACCTACCCGTCACCATTTAAATCAACCACTGCCACATCATAGCCAAAGGAGGAGGCCAGGCCTGGACCAGAGAGGACTAACTCCACAGACAAACTTCGCTTTGCCACAGGGTCTGCCTTAAGAAATGTCACCTGGCCGCTGTAGCCTCCACGGGGGGCTCCTGATACGATCGTCAGCTCACCCTTTCTGAACAGGGCCATACCAGAGTCAATGGAGAATCCTGGACAGCAAAGAAATGAAGTTGATTTATTGGAAAAGTTATACTTCATAAGAGGGAAAAGAGATCTACCTTATAGCATTTCATTAACCATCAGATTTATGAAGAAAGATGCAACTTTAAATACCCTAATTAATTCTGACTAGACTAGAAACTGACCCAGGTAGCTGTTTCTCTGGAGTGGAATGAGGTTTTTATTAAACAGGTCTATGTCCCCAGTTTCACGAGTATCTTCACTCAAGATGTCCAGGTTGTCCAAGAGCTCCAGTCGTACAATTCCTGTAAACAACATCACAGAACAAAACAGAATAACAGGAGCACAACATTTAACATTTTAGGTTGGAAAATATTTTTGCTGATGAAACGAACACCTGAACTCTAGCTGTGAATTTTATTCTACCTTTCCACTGATAAGCGCCAGGTGCTCCAAACAACAGTGATCTGTTGTCCCTTGCAAAAGATGCTCCATGACCCTGCTGGCAGTATGCAAACCACTCATGGTCCTTGCGACGTCTGGTTAGGTGCTCAGAATCACAAACTACCCTCCTCCATGTCCTCTCTTCCTTCCCAACCTTCAGGTCATCTCCTAAGAGATAACACTGACCCGTCACCAGACGAGGGACATTCACGCTTGGACTCGGGCTCCACTGCTGGTATCGATGAGCACAAGTCTTCAAGGGAAGGATGATGAAATGGCAAAAGCTGCTGAATAATTTATTCTATTCTGTATTATTTCAATGTGGAGTGTTTCGCTTACCATTACATTTTGACCAGGACCTTGGCTCATCACTCTAACTCCCATCCACTGGCCGTTTATGCCTTTACTATTGAGGAACTCTAGTAAAAGAAACAAGCTGAGCTCACTGTGTGGCCTCAATGTATAATTATAGTATAATTACATTGATTAGAGGAAGCACTCAGGTCCTGCTTTTACAATCCTACTTCGGTAAATGTACATAAGTATTTTCATATATTATCAAATGTATTAACTTTAGGGTCTAACTTTGTGTTCATATATAGTCAAGTCTTGTAGTGAACATGCAAGATGAACCACTGAATTCACTATGAGTATCATAGCAATCCCCCTTTACAACTAGTTGCTCAAAATATGAGCTAATGATAGCACCCAAATTCACACCTCTTCCACCCACAGTTATGGGATTAGGGTGTATCAAGCAAGGTTGTCATCAGGCTGTCTGTCTATTATTATATACACTGTTGCTCATGAAGTTGGAATAAAATATTTTTTAACTCTTTCCATGAAATGATTGTGACAATGTGATTTATTTCATTTCACCTGGGTAATTGGGACACATAATGTAATCATTGCACCTTGTCAAAAGTGATTACTGATGCATTTAAATAGGAATAAACTGAGTATTGTGTCTGAAAACAAAATTATTCCAACTTTATGGGCAACAGTGTATATATATATATATATATATATATATATATATATATGACATTATTACGTTGTTAATACTGACGCATCAATGCGTAAGCAGTGTCTTACTTCTGTAGTTGCTCAAGGTGGAGCCAGTTTTAAGTACTTAATGTATAGTTAGGTAGTGTAGTTCACTGGTTCCCACTCTAGGGGTCACAAGATTAATCTGGGGTGAGGGGAGAGGAAAGAAAAAAACTAAATTCTGCTAGAAAAATCTGAATTAATTTTTTGGACTTAAATTTTTGCTTTTTTGTGAAATATTGGATAATTTGACCTCTTCTAATTAAACAGGAGGGGGAAATCACTCTTTCTTGGAAGTGCTAACAACTCATCTTCATCTAAGTGTGACCCTATGTAGGCACTGTTTGTTTGTACAGGGCCACAAGCCAAAAAGTTTGGGAGACACCGGTTTAATCTATGACAATGCATTTTATTTTATAGTCTTATCATACAGTATGTTTAAGGTATCTTAATTTTATAAGAAACTGAAATATTACGACTTTACTTTCCACCACTGATCATATCACTTAAAAGATACTAGGATAACTCAAGCAATTTCAGTTAAAATAGGCAGACAAACCTTCACTTTCAAACTCAATGGGCTGGCAGCGCTCAGATGTTATAGTCAGATCACATCTGTAAACAACACCTGTAACATTCACCTGGTTCTGGTGTTTTGCTTGTGGAGCTCCAACCAGCAATCTGAGAGCAAATACCTCAAGTAGTAAGACACAGATACAGAATTTGCTTTCGTTTGCTCTCATTTAAATGGAATAACTCATTTTGACTCACAGGTTCTTTCTGGCAGGGCTCAGCTGCTGGTGAAAGGCAACAGAAAACCCAAACAAGCTTCCTGGATCTCCGTTTCTCTGCAACACATTCTCAGTGTCCAGGTTAAAAGCTGAAATATTAACGGTCTGGAAATACCAAACACTCCACAGATACACTATGTGCCAGTGCTTCGCCATTATTAAAATATGTAATCAGCTCTTTCACTGAGAGAATGTAAACCCTTATTGAAAAGGGCGGGTGCTGACAGGTGCTAACTGGCTCATTGTAGACACAGACAAATAAGGTGTGGTTGTGAGAAATGTAACAATACTGGACTGTTCAACTTTATGAGCTGATAACTGTAGTTAATATTAACCAATTCCTGCTTTGATGAAAGTCAAACATGAGACTTGGCCTCTGACCAAAAGTCTACTCTGCTGAGTGTGCGTTGATCGTTGATCATGGCTCAATATTTAGAAAATTACATCATGTTGCCTTCCACTGACTCTGCAAAAAGCAATGCAAAAGAGTAAACAAGCACATGACTGATTATCCTGAGAACGTGTCTGAAATTATGGTCTGAGATAACAATGAATGGGGCGCTGACAAAACAACTAAATGTAATTCAGAAAGGAAGCAGCAATAAAGATTATTAGACCTGCTTAATAGTCTTATATAAAGTTTTTATACTCAGTTTGCTGTTCATTTATTATTGTGATGATTTTATTTTATTACACAGGAAAGAGGATAATAAATAAAAAACTTTTCTTTATTTATATAACTGAATGTGCAACACTCACTCTACCAGTGTTATTTTCAAATTTAAATTTCAAACTTTAAATTTATATAACATTCTGTTATTTTGCAGTCTTATGTTGAAAGTGATAAATTAATTAATCAGTGGGCCATCCGCCCAGCCGATTGTTGGGCCTTTCTCTAACTCTAACTAATTCTAACTGAGTTTTTTATGCCTTACTATACTATGATGTTTTTATGACATTTTATAACTCAGTATACTATGAGTTTTTTTTTTTTTTTTTTAAGTATATTTTTTTGGGCTTTTAATGCCTTTATTGATAGTGCAGTAGAGAGAGACAGGAAATTGGGAGGCAGAGAGAGGGGGAATGACATGCAGCAAAGGCCGTCTGATGCGGGACTCGAACCGGGGCCAACTACAGCGAGGACTGTAGCTCTACACATGGGGCACCTGCTTAGACCACTATGCTACACGACGCCCCACTATGATATTTTTATGGCTTACTATACTATGACGTTTTTATGACAATTTATGCCTTTTTATACTATGACGCTTTTATTACATTTCATGCGTTCTATATTATGACGTTCTTATGACATTTTATGCTTTATTATACCATGACGTTTTTATGACGTTTTATGCCTCATTATACTATGATGTTTTTTTTAACATTTCATGACTTATTATACTATGATGTTCTCATGCCTTACTTTACAATGCCATTTTTATGGCGTTTTATGCCTCATTATGCTATGAAATTTTTATGACGCCTTATGCCTTACTATAGTATGAAGTTTTTATGCCTTACTTTATTATGACGTTTTATGCCTTACTATACTATGTTGTTTTTATGACATTTTATACCTTACTTTACTATGATGTTTTATGCCTTACTATAATATTTCATTTTTATGACACTTTATGCCTTACTATTCTATGATGTTTTTATGACATTTTATACCTTACTATAGAATTACGTTTTTATGCCTTACTGTAATATGACGTTTTATGCCTTACTATTCTATGATGTTTTTATGACACTTTATACCTTACTATAGTATGACGTTTTAATGCCTTACTATACAATGACGCTTTCATGACATTTCATGACTTCTATAATATGACGTTCTCATGCCTTACTATACAATGCCGTTTTTATGATGTTTTATGCCTCATTATACTATGACATTTTTATGACGATTTATGCCTTACTATACTATGATATTTTACGCCTTACTATACTATGATGTTTTTATGCCTTATTATTATTATATTATTATTATTATTATATATGTTGTTATATATTATATATTATTATATATGTTATTATATATGTTTTTTTTGACATTTTATACCTTGATATACTATGTCATTTTTATGACGCTTTATGCCTTACTATACTTTGACGTTTTTATAAAATTTTATGCCTTACTTAACTATGATCTTTTTTGCCTTACTATAATATTACGTTTTTATGACACTTTAAGCCATATCATAGTATGACAATTTATGCCTTTTGTTTTTGTGACATTTTATACCTTATTATACTATGATATTTTTATGATGCTTTATGCCTTACTATAGTGTGATGTTTTATGCTTAACTATAATATTACGTTTTTATGACACTTTATGCCTTACTATTTTATGACCTTTTTATGACACTTTATACCTTACTATAGTATGAAGTTTTTATGCCTTACTTTATTGTGATGTTTTATGCCTTACTATTCTAATATGTTTTTATGACACTTTTTGACCTATTATACTATGACCTTTTTATAACTTTTAATGCCTTAGTACACAATGATGTTTTATGCCTTACTATACTATGACATTTTTCTGAAGTTTTATGCCTTGCTATACTATGATGTTTTTATGCCTTATTATACTATGATTTTTCTATACCTTACTTTACTATGACGTTTTACGCCTTACTATTGTATTATGGTTTTATGACACCTTATGCCTTACCATACTACAACTTTTTCATGACACTTTATACATTACTATAGTATGACGTTTTTATGACACTTTATGCCTTACTATACTATGACGTTTTATGCCTTACGATTCTGTTATGTTTTAATGATATTTTATGCCTTACCATACTATAAAATTCTTATGCCTTGGAATACTATGATGTTTTTATGAAATTTTATGCCTTACTATTCTGTTATTTTTTTATGACACTTTATGCCCTACAATAATTTGACGTTTTTATGAAACTTTCCTTACTATAGTATGAGGTTTTTATGACACTCTATGCCTTACTATACTATGACATTTTATGCCTTACTATTCTATTATGTTTTTATGATATTTTATGCCTTGCCATACTATAAAATTCTTATGCTTTATTATACCATGAAGTTTTTATGTCATTTTATGTCTTACTATACTATGACATTTTTATGACATTTTATGCCTTACTATACTATGACCTTTTGATGACATTTTATGCCTTATTATACTATGGCATTTTTATGACGTTTTATGACCTATTATATTATGAACTTTTTATTACTTTTAATGCCTTACTACACTATGAAGTTTTATGCCTTGCTATACTATATTGTTTTTATGCCTTACTTTACTATGACGTTTTATGCCTTACTATTGTATTATGTTTTTATGACACTTTATGCCTTACCATACTATGACATTTTTATGATGTTTTGTGACCTATTATACTATGACCTTTTTATGACTTTTAAAGCCTTACTACACTATTACGTTTTATGCCTTACTATACTATGACACTTTTCTGAAGTTTTATGCCTTGCTATACCATGATGTTTTTATGCCTTACTATACTATGACACTTTATGCCTTACCATACTATTACGTTTTCATGACACTTTATGCCTTATTTTATGCCTTACTATACTATGACGCTTTTTATGATATTTCATGTCATACTATACTATGACATTTTAATGCCTATACCCTACAATACTTTGATGTTTTTATGAAACTTTCCTTACTATAGTATGAGGTTTTTATGCCTAATTATGCTATGACATTCTCATGACATTTTTTGCCTTACTATTCTATTACGACTTTGTGACACTGCCTCACTATACTATGATTTTTTAATGACATTTCATGCCTTACTATACTATGATTTTCTAATGAAATTTTATGCCTTACTATATTATGACATTTTTATGAAATTTACTGCTTATTATACTATGACATTTTCATGACTTTTAATGCCTTACTACACTATGACGTTTTATGCCTTACGATACTATGTTTATATGACATTTTGTGCCTACTATACTATGATTTTTTAATGACATGCTATACTATGATGTTTTTATGCCTTACTATACTATGATGTTTTTGTACTTTACTTTACTATGACGTGTTATGCCTACTATTCTATTATGTGACACTTTATACCTCACTACAGTATGACATTTTTATGCCTTACCATACTATGACCTTTTTATGACTTTTAATGCCTTACTTAACTATGACGTCTTATGCCTTGCAATACTATGTCGTTTTTATGACATTTTATACCTTACTACACTTTGATGTTTTTATGCCTTACTTTACAATGAATTTCTAATGACATTTTTATGCCTTAGTATATTATGACATTTTTATGACATTTACTTCTTATTACACTATGACTTTTTTATGACATTTCATGCCTTACTATTCTATGTCATTTTATGCCTTAATATAATCTGATGTTTTTATGACATTTTATGCCTTATTTTACCATGATGTTTTTATGACTTTTTATGCCTTACTATTCTATGTAATTTTGTGCCTTAATATACTATGATGTTTTTATGACATTTTATGCCTTATTTTACTGTGATGTTTTATGCCTTACTATTGTATGACATTATGACATTCTATGCCTGACTGCTATGTTTTTGTCAGAACTGATGTTGGACGCTCGAGCAAAGAAAGAACACACAACACACTAGCAATAACAGTGCAAGAGAGTTTATTGAGGACAAGGCAATAGTGATGGTGAATATGTAGGGGGAGTGGGTCTGCGGAATCCAGTTCTGGGGTGAGAACACGAGGCAGGAGCATGGAGGACACAGGAGATCAGAAGCAGGTGAGTAAACACACTCTGGAAACACGAGGGACAGCTGGAGACCAAAAGCAGGTGGGTTTGTGTGGCGTGGCGACAGCAGAGTGTGGCAGGATCAGCAGCCCACAAATCAGGAAGTCATCTGGAGCATAGGAGAACAAACAGTGAATATAGACAAAACACTGAGAAGATCAAACTAATCAGTGCAGCCAAGAGAGTAACTACCACTGTGAAGAGCGGAACAATATGGTGACGAATGGAGGGATGACCAAGGTAGATGTTCTGCAGATGAGGCACACATACAGACACACATACACGGGGAGGGTAGACAAAAAGGAAAATTAAAAACACTGTGAGACACGACAGAGCATAGTAAGA